TACGGTACATACTGCTTTATTCCAGGCTTTTGCTTTATTCAAATATTTTATTCTTTTTGCTATGTTTTTATCTTGCATCAGGGTGTATAGGGGTCAAGATTTATACAGGAAAGATATGGCTTTTGGCCATAGTAAAGGCCAGTGGCATTTGTGAAACTCTCCAGAGAAGGGACTTTGTTCCCCTGAACCCCTCCTGCTTCCTCTGAAACATAAAACCCCTTTCTCCAAAGGAGTTAATTTCACCCTTTCTTGACTTAGCAGTGAACATGCAGTGTATGCACATTTTAAAAGTATTCCTTTTTCTGCAGCGATTATCACCACCTTGTCTGGTGAACTTCAGCAAAAACCCAAGGCAGGTACTGTCAGTCCCAGCAGCACTCCTATAAGACATTGATCACCTCGTCTAGGTAGTTGTCCCCTAGGGGTTCATCAGCTCTTTCCCATCTGGTTGCCAGTTGCCTGTAGTTTCTCTCCCTCCTTAGAGCATGGCTTTAGAGGAATGCAAATTAGATGGGTAGTTGTCACACCCCTGCTCCTGCTGAAAGGGGGGAGGTGGGGGGCAACAGAGTGCTCTCAGGCACTCCCTGGCCTGGCCACGTGCACAGTGGCCCATAGTGAAAGTCCATGGAAAATGTTACTTCTCTGCTTACTCACCAGGCAGAGCTCTGGTAAGTGTTTTAATGGCGAGTACCTGAAGAAGGACGAGCGCCATGTGGCCCCATAAAAAGATGTCTTCAGTGTCATTCTCACTTTGTGACTGTGCCTTCTGAATGGGGGGGAACAGATGGACCAAGTCAAGGCATAGAGGAAAGCTCAGCTGTAAGGTGGTTAGAGGGCTTTTAAAAAGACTTCATGAAGAAAGCAAAGAGATGTGTATTTTTAGGCAACTACTGTGAGTGATCAAAGGCCGTTTTTCTCTCTTCCTTCTTGAAACAAACTACTCAGAAATCAACTTCTTGATTTTTTTTTTTTTTTTTTTGAGAAAAATAAAAAACCTTTTTGAAATTGAAAGTGGGTCCGTGAACATGTCCTGGGGAGATAAATGTAGGTTACAAGGACCCCTGGATGAGAGAGTGAGCTGGGACAGCCACACGCAATAGGGGTTTCTTGAAGCTCCTTCCTGCTGTTGGCCACAATAAGGATTAAATTCTTCACCTAGTTGTTTTAGCAAAATACTTTGAGAGATCACAGCCTGTCTGTAATCCTCTCTGTATCATCTACTGTGCCTTCACCCTTTCCCTGCCTTTTTTTTTTTTTTTTTTTTTTTTTTTTTGGCTAAATATGGCACTAAAAAATAGAATTGAAATTTCCACCTGTGCTTTCAAGTTTGGTTTTTCCATAAGGCATGAGGGAAAAGGTGCTTTCAGGAAAATAAGTAAATTGCATCTACTTCTAATAACAGATTCTGTTTCCTTTCTCTATAGAAGGGGGCATACCTTTGAGGATAAGTATTAGAAATTATCTTCATTTATAATACAGTTGACCCTTGAACAACATGGGTTTGAACTGCATGGGTCCACTCATACACTTCATTTTTTTGTAAATACACTGCAGTACTCTAAATGTATTTTCTCTTCCTTGGGATTTTCTTAATTACATTGCCTTTCTCTAATGTACTTTCTTGTAAGAATATAGTATGTGATAAACATAACATACAAAATATGTGTTACTCAACTGTTTATGTTGTCAGTAAGGCTTTCGTTCCAACCATAGGGTATGGGTAGTTAAGTTTTGGAGGGAGTCAAAAGTTATATGTGGATTTTCCACTACCCAGTGGGTCAATGCTCCTAACCTTGGCATTGTTCAAGGGTCAACTGTATAGACAAGAGAGTAATTTTGTTCAGTGGAACTCTAGTAGAGGCTCACAAAGGCTGCTGACCCATCGGGTTATTGAACTCAATTAGTAATTACAGAGTCACTGTTGTTAACTTGGATATCAGAATGGGTTGAAATCGTAATTAATGTAGGTTAAATAATTGCATATAAGGATCATCTGTGGAAATGTGGATCATCTGCAAAACTTTGTTCTAGCCCAGCTGGGTGACAGTAGAGTTAAGTTCATGGTAAAGAGGAAGCAGTCAGTGGGATTTGAAAGAGGGAAAGCATGGCAGAAAGTTGTTGCTTTTCAGGTTAAATGAGTTTCAGTTGGAGTGGATTTGAGCTGCTATATTGGAAGACAGCTATGTGCCTTTTGAAGCTCTCTTGGCCATCAGAGACCCTCAGCAAGTTATTTATTAATGGGGGGGGGGGATACAGCCGGAAGAATAAAAGAATTCCTTTTAATAACAAAGTTGTTCATTTAAAATTGAACATTTTTATAATTCTAGATATTTAAAATCGAAATACAAAATTCCAAATACTTAAGATTAAAATACCCAAACTAATAGTTGAGTTTAAAAAGTAATCTTACTATCCTCATGAAGGAGGGACCTCCAACCTCCACCAGGTGAGCTCATACACTTTGGGAGCCATTGGGACTGTGGCAGAAAAGCCAGCAATCCGTGTGCGCTGTCTGAGACCTGAGCACGGCTGAAGAGGCAGCACACCAGGGACCATTCCTGGTGTGATCCAAGGCAGATAAGACAGGCCTTCGTGCAAGGTCTTTGCCATACGGCGGGGAAGGGCATAAATTAATAAACCAGAGACCTGTGCTTTAGAAGTCACTGTCTTGGGCAGATACGCAGTCACTTCACAGAGCTCTCGAAAAGGGGAAGGGCATCAGGCAATCTGACTGCCGCCCCGTGGACTGAGGTAAATGACTTCATGTGTCTGAGTTCCGAAGGGAAGGCCCACAAATGCAGTAGCTGTAGAGAGTTCTGCGGACATCTCATGCATGGAGCTCACATTTGAAAGGACCCTTCTGTCACGAAGAGCGAAACAGAGGCAGTGGTCTCCTCCGCTATGTGAGATTAACAGCTGAAGAAATCCTGGCTAAGGTCCAGTGTCTGGAAGATGCTGGAAGTGGGTACATGCCCTGTGCGAGGTGAGGTGCTTGAAGCTTTATAGGTGTTGTTTCCTCTGACCCTATGAACTGGGTGTTAGTACCATCTACTCCATTCTAGAAATGAGAAGTTGAAACTTAAGGAAGTCAAAAAGGAAGAGAGAAAGCGAGAAAGGAGAGAAACAGAAAAACTCAGAATGTCACACAATTAGGAGAGCGAGGTTTTGAACTAAATCCCTTGACTCCAAATCCAACTAAATCCCTTGACTCCTAACCCCCCTCTATTATACTACATGGAGTCGTGTTTTATCCACCATCTCATTTTATTCGGGAAAGCAGAACAAAGGGCCATTGTAAGAAAATAAGGTTGTAACTCAACCTATAAGCAAGTAGGAAGTGTATGGAAATAGATTCTAACTAAGGAGACCCGAGTAAAGCAAAAGCGAGCCACAGTAAATGCAATGAAACAAAGCAATTTCTGAATGTCCAAGTGACATCTTGAGCCTTTCCTAGTGCTGATGGGTCTGGAGATGCTCCCGGCAGACAGAGCTCTCCACGGGAGCCAGAGCATCGGCAGGTTTGGTGACCAGCTGATTTGACTTTGAACACAGTCTGACTATAAAAATCGAAAATACTTCTAGAATCAGAGAACCTGGGACAGGTGTATGCAAAATGGAGGTGGTTCAGATCTGAAAGCCTTGAACGAAGGTTGTCGTGGATAACTCTTCACGCTGTTAGCTCTGCCACAGTCCTGCTGACTGCTGCAGAGGAAGCCCACAATACTTCAGAGCCATCCCCAAGTGTATCATTAAAGGATGGCAGAAAGTATCCCTGACCCGTATCTCACAAAAAATAGGATGTGTGACATGGGAGAGACCCCACGGCTCAGTGTGCTCTCTGGCTGGTCACACAATGTCCTCGCTGCTCGCTAATGAAAACAGGGCTTCGTCATACCAGCATCAGTACCTGAAGACGTGACTGCCTTGCATTACCCCCTTTCCTACCCTACCCCAACCTGGAGCCACTGCAGGCTTCTTGTGGAGCTAAGGACACTCTCCCCTGCTAGGTGATCAAACATTTTTTTCTTTTGCTTTCACCTCATCTGCCCCATAGCTGTGGGCTATTCATGAAGGAAAACACTGACAGAAAATAAGGGTAACCATTTTGGGTTGAAAGATCAGGGAGGGCTTCTTTGAGGAGGTGACATTTAAAGCCAAAACTAGAGGAAGGAAAAAAAAAATATGTAAAATCGAGGATCAGAGCATTTCAGGCAGAGGGAAGAGTGAGGATAAGAACCCTGGAGCAGGAACCTGCATCATACTCCATGAGTGATGGTGGGAAGGAAGAGAGAGGGTGGGAGAGAACAGGATCAAAACCCTGAGGTGCTGGGAGTTGTGATTTTAAGTGGTTGCTGAAGCCAGAAGCAGAGTAGTGACCAAATTCTGTTCTTGAAGGTCTCTCTGGGGGTGCCTGCATGGGTGCCTCCATTGGTTAAGGGTCTGACTCTTGATTTCAGTTAGGTCATGATCTCTGGGTCTTGGAATCGAGTCCCGCATCAGGCTCTGTGCTCAGTGCAGAGTCTGCTTGTCTTTCTCCCTCCACTCCTCCCCTCACTCATGCTCTCTCACTCTCCCTCTCTAATAAATAAATGAAATCTTAAAAGAAAAAGATCTCTCTGGTCTCTGGGTACCAAATGGATTTGACGAGAATGGAGGCAGGAAACCCTTAGGCAAAGTCATTGCAACAGTCCAGATGAGCGGAGCTGGAGACTGGGGCTGGGATGGTGGCAACAGAGGCAGAGGGAGGCATTGGTGAAGGCAGAGCCAGAAGGTCTTGGAGGAGACGAGGAAGAGAAGGTGACAAGTCCCCAAATGCATTCTCAAGGCTAATTGCTTAGCTGGTTCTCTTTAAACTTTCTGTCTAGGTTATATTTTCCTTTACTCAGAAAAGCCACAGATCTTTTCTAACCAGCTTAGTTTTGAGTAAATGCTAGGGACTCGGGTCGCTCTTGATTCTGAAGCCACAGTCTGAAATCTTACAAGGCACTTTTTATTTACAGCCTACCAGGACTTCCTCTGAAAGCATTTATTCTAGACCAAGCTCCAGTATCCCTGGCTCCCCGGGTCATACTATCTATGTAAGTATTGACTTCTGGCAAAGACCCTTCCTTTCGGGACAGGTAAAGTAGCAGATGGTAATGGGGGAGGGGGGTAACCCAGAGTAGAATAATTTGAAATGATTTCTATTTCTGTTATGAGATCCAGTTTTCATGGTTGAAGATCAGCCTTCCCAATCACGTTTTCCTTCGGGTAATTAAATTTATATACAAATGTGACCATCGATGTCAGTGACCTATAAAATGCAGTAATACCATGCAGGACTTGAAAAATTGTTGGATATAGACACTTGGGGATTATTTAAACATTTTGTAAGGCTGATACTGAGTATTCTTAAATTCTGCCATGAGATATTTAAATATTTAGTTTATCAAATATGCAGTTCTTGTTTTTAGCCATCTGGGAGGATTTTTTTTTTTTTTTGACCATCTGTTTGAGCTTCTCCATCTCTGTAATAAATTTAGGAAAACGATCGTGAAGGTTTGCAGGCGTTTCTACTTGGTTTATTCTGCACAGACTTTTCCCTAAGCTTTTGGTGACTTTTTTTTTTAATAAAACATGATTAATACATGGTATAAATAGGCAACTTTCTAAAGCAAAATGCTTTGATTTTTGATTCTTTTTAAGGTCTTCACCTTTCAAACAGGACATGAAATGTACTAACAGTTTTCCAAAGAGATGAGACTGAAAAGTGATTTTGCTTTCTGTTTTAACTTTGCCAGGCAAAAGTGGACAATGAAATCCTGGATTATAAGGATTTAGCGGCCATCCCCAAGGTCAAGGCCATTTATGATATTGAACGTCCAGATCTTATTACATATGAGCCTTTCTACACTTCCGGCTATGATGACAAGCAGGAGAGGCAGAGCCTGGGAGAGGTAACACATTCTAGAAGCTGTGCTTATACAACTTCTCTTTCATCATGTGTATAAGAATGACTGATTGGAATCACAATAAGTCAGAGGGTTCTTTTGATTGCCTACTGTTTGCAGGCTTCTGTACCAGGTGCTTTGAGGGGCTCAGAAATCTCTCGCACCATCCCTGGCCCCAGGAGTTTACAGAGGGTTGAGAGAACAGAGCAGCCAGAGAAAACAGCGGGGAAGCATGAATGAGTGCTGGTACCAGGTTGTGGGATGGCAGAGCGGACATACTGGGGAGTAAGTCAGAATTCACAGGGGAGATTCTGTGAGCTGGGTAGAGGGAGTGAGGGAGAGTTCTGGGGGTCTCCTGGGGGTACCATCTGAGGTACAGTCATGGGGATCATGAGGAAGAGAACATACATCCTCAGTTAGGACAGCCTCTGTGTGTAGCATCTTAAGATAGTTAGACTGTGAGAGAACAGAAACAGCAGAGAGACGGAGACCACGGTGTGGCACAGTGATGTGAGCCAGGGTTCTGGAATCAAATTATCTGGGCTCAACCTGGGGACCCCACGTGCCACTTGGATGACTTTGGCCACGTGGCAACCATTCTGACCCTGGTTTCTTCATCGGTAACACAGGATGACAGAATCTACCTCACGGGATGTTAGTAAAGATTAAATAAATGATCTCTTAAAGGTTAGTATCTATAGACTATCTAGATCATTTATTGTCTATTAAAACTAATTTGTATAAACTACTTTGTTAAAGCAATTACCTGAGAGACTCGTGGTAAATGTTCAGCAAATGACAGCTGCTGCTGTGGTCATTCCCTCTCCTCTTGGGGCTTAGTAATGCTTTCCCAACATTAATGGTCCAGAGGCTGGAGCACAGCCTCTCAGCCCCTTGGGGTCCTCCCCATCCCTTCCCAGGTTTGGGGGTTCCCTACCTGGGTTGCATGGGCTCAGGTCTGTTTCTCCTGGTCTGTTCAACTCACTTTAAACCTTTTTCCCTTTTATTTTTAAAATTGGAATCCTCTATACACTGATTTGAGTCCAGTCAGAGAGATGTTACCCAAATATCGGACTAAAATTAGCTGTCAACCCAAGGTTAAAACAGACTGTAAACTACCTGTCTACACAGTGCTTTGAGATCTTAGATGAAGAAAAGCCATGAAAACATGGTGATTCTGTTTCATTTGTTCTCAATAATACATGTATATATGACATCTGTCTCATAATTATATTTATATGTATTCGTAATTGTAATATATGTTGTTCATTCACTTATTTTTCAATTTGGGGTTGAAATGGCCCATTGGACAGGAAGTGATATCTATTTTCATGTAGTGCCCCCTAGTGGTAATATACTTGTAACTGCATCTGCAGCCACACCGCGGACGGCGGGGGTGACAGGGGCGGCGGGGGCGGGGGGGTGCTGGGTTGTGAGCTGCCATGGGGCCCCGCCTGGAGAGCGGTGTAGAAAATCAAGGAAAAGGACAGTTCCTGAAAAGGGTGCACAGGGCCTGGGCCTGGAGCAAGTAGATGAGAATTTGCTCGTATTCAGGTTGTCCAAGCAAGGGGGAAGTGAGTTGTTTTTTGGTGTTTTAGGTTTGGGGGTACATATCTATTTCCCGGTGGCTCCGTTTTGAACAGTAAAACATCAAGCACTTGAGAGTTTGGGCTTTGAAGTGAACGTTTCAGGGTTTGGAGTCAGACTTTTGTTTACTAACCATACAACTTTGGGGAAAATATGTATTTCAGTCTCCTTATCTGTAAACTCAAGGGAGTAACACCTGCCTCAGAGTCTTCTGTGATTCAGTGAAATATTTAGGTTAGAACGGTACCTGGCCCGTGAGTGCTCGACAAAACTGCTGGCCACTCTCGTGGTCAGCATCATTACCGTCAGGACCCAGAATGATGACCTGTGGTTTTTTCGGAGCACGGAATCTTGATGGGAGTTTGCCCCCAGATCAGAACACATGTTCTCCGTCTCTTCCCCAACACAAGAATCTTGCAACGTAGAAAACTTGACACACGCTGTTTGATTATTTATTCCTCTACTTATTAACACTTTCTCCAAAGAATCCATAGATTGCCAATTTAGAAACACTGGAGGAATAAACTTGACCTTCTGTGTAGCCGTTTGCGCCTCTAGGAAACATGAGAAGGGGGTGGATCAGGAGGCCTGCTGTGAGCAGGGTCAGGCCTGGCTCTGCGCTTCAAGGAGCCTGTCTCCCCCAGCTTAGACACCCCACCACCACCAACGCCAACACAGGCTGTAGCTGTCTCGAGACCTTGGGGCTTGAGGAAGGTGCTGTGCTGCGAGAGCCCGGTGGCATCTTGTGACCTTGGGGTGAGGGGAAAACTGGGATGCTGAGAAATCTAGCTCTGTTCTTCAGGATGCTTTGTTTGCATTTCATTTCCATTTAAATGCTTTTTGCGTTTTAATTGTAAACATTTCATTCATTCATTTAGGAAGTATTTGTTCGGTACCTCATAGGTGCCAGGAGCTGCTCTAGTCCCTGGGAATACAAGTAGCTATAAAGAAACAGAGTTCCTGCCCTCGTGGAACTTGCAGTGGGATATGGGAGACAGACCATCAGCAGATACATAACACCCTTCTCCAGGGTGTAGTGCTAGCAGAAAAGCGAAGCAGAGTAAGGAGAAAGCATGTAGGACTGGGTTCCTTCTTCAGGTAGGACGGTCACAGAAGGCACTGTGTGTACCACATGAGACCTCACTGAAGAAGAGGAGTAAGCCCGGCAGGTGTCTGAGTGAAAGGCACTGCTGGCAGAGGGCACAGCAGATGCAAAGGCCCTGGGGTGAGAGAGGGTTTGATCTGTTCATTGCCCCCAAGGAAGCCTTTGTGCCTGGAAGGTTGGAAGCCAAGTGAATGTGGTCATGTTGGCAAGCCCATCAGGGCGGGATCCCACAGACCTGGTCATCCCTGGTCTATGCCATGCAGCAAATGATTTTACGTGATTGCTCTGATTATAATTGAGTCAACAACCATGTTTATAAAATTCTGTGTTCCAGTAGACACCATGACTCATAATAGTAAACTGAGCATAGTTTGAGCATAAAGGGAAAAATAGTTCCAGTTTGTCTAACTTAAGCATGAAAGTACAACTACGTCTTTCTCAAAACCCATAGTTCTTAGGCTGGGACATGAGCCAGGCTCCTGAGAACTTGGTTGTCATGCTCCTGTCTGAGCCTCACACTCAACTTACCGAATCAGAAGATGGGGGTGGACGAGGGGAGCAGGCGTGTGGATGCGGTATGGTTTCCAGGGGATTCTGATAAACTAATTAAACTGATAACAAATCAATATCCACTGTAACTTTCAATTCTCTTTTATTCTTCTAGTCTCCAAGGACTTTGTCTCCTACTCCTTCAGCAGAAGTAAGTACCATTGTTGGACATTATAACAGATGGGATTTGGGAGTTACCTGGACTTTTCCTAGACTGGAGTTTTTAAGGAAGGACGTTAAACAAAACAACAACAACAAAAACTGGGTGCAAAATTATGATGCATGTCGGATCCCTTACGTGTGAGATGACTCTAAGACAAGGTAGTCCGTGTTTTCTATAGTGAGACTGGGGGTAAAAACAGCCATACAGTAATCTGAGCCTCTGCCTCTAAGTGCCCAGGAAGGGTTTGCAGGGAGTGAGACCACCCGTCCTGCTGGGGGCGCCCCCCCCCCCACCCCGTATATGGAATTGATCTGAGGCCCAGCATCCCGGACTATCAGAAATGGCCTCTGGTGGTCACTGAGCATTCTGTAAGCAGAGCCATCTTCAGGGAGGACACTCCCTTTTGTCTGAAATCCATAGTCTTGTCCCGCTCCTCAGGGTAAAGAAATCTCACAGTGGCTTGTCACAATGGTTTGTATCTGGCCCACCAGGCCCACCGTTCCCTTGGGAGTAACTCCGGTATGGATCGCGTGGCGCCATCCGTGGTCCTTCCACGGTGAGCCCCGGATCCCCTCTCAGTCCGTACACACGCCTTCTGCCCTGTCTGGTGTCAAAACCAGACACCGCCCCGGATTAGTTATTCTCACAACCGTCTTAGCGGTTCTTCAACAACTTTACACTCTCCCTCCTCGTCCGGAGTTCCTCGGTTTTGCCCCAGTCCCACGCCGACTGCCTGCTTGGTGACCGGAGCCCGTAGAAGGACTTTCCTTGGTCTCTCCTCATTTTTTCCCTTTTGGGGCAGGGTGCGGGGGGCTTCCAGGCTAGCGACCTAGGCTCAGGCTGACTCGCATCTGAACGTGGTCCAGCGACAGGGTCTGATCCAGCACTTTTTCTTTATTTTCGCTTCTTCAGAGAACAATAACCGAGGGATCGTGTGTTTAGCATGCTTCTTACTGTTCTGCATTTCCTTAGGCATCCAGTGAGCCAACGCCTCAGGTTGGGTCTACTCCCATCTAAAAAAAGAATAATAATAAAAATAATAAATCTGGGTGGCTCCGCCAGTTAAGCATCCTGACTTTGGTCCGGGTCATGATTTCACAGTTGTGAGATCGAGCCCTGCATTGGGCTCTGTGTTCAGCAGAGAGTCTGCTTTAGATTCTCTCTCCCTCTCTGAGAAATAAAATAAAAACTTAAAAAATTTAAAATGAATGAAAAATAAAATCAGTGAGTCTTGTCTTCAAGCAACTTTCTGGATACTCTACGTAAAACTGGATTGATCTTAGATAACCATTATAATTTAACCTAGTAAAAGCTCTGTAGTATTCTGATGTTTGTGACTGAGGGCTGTGAAATATTAATTTCTGTTAGTATTCTAATGACAGAAGTTATGAAGCATTAACTTCTGTTATCAACCAGTTGCAAAGTTGAAGCACATTGTTTAGGGACTTCTTTTTATTTTGTTTTTATATAACTTATTGTTCTAGACAACTAGAATCAAACCATAGTTTCCTTGCCATTTGCTCTCATATTTCATACAGCCCTGGTTATTGAGTTTTTAATTTAGGCATTTTTCCATTCTGTCTTCCAAACTTGTATTTCTGTTGTGGTAGCAGAAACTTCGTAAGACAACCAGTTCCTAAAATGTAGAACATTCCTTCCTACCCTTTTCATTGTTTGAACCATTTTATGTTGTGTTTGTGTGTGTATGATTTTTCTGTACTTCACATCTAATCTGCTCTTTTCTAGCTTTGGAGATAGTGGGCATGCAGTATATCCATTGACTTCATTATTCCCCGATTTATTGAGAAAGTTTAATCTTTATAAATGGTGGTATTATAAATATCTTTGAGCAGATTTTCCCATTTGGAGATCACTTTTTATTTTCTCCTTGGGATATGTTTCTCAAAGTGGGAAGTAGGATTTCCTGGGTTTGAGGCCACCAGCAGCTTGTTCTTCAGGAAAATCACTTTAAAATGTCACCAGATCAGTGTTATAGACAGTGTGGGTTGGTGGCCAGAGCAAAGGGTAAGATGAGAGCCAGGAGGCTGGTTCTGAAGCAGGCTCTGCCCTATGGGAGCTACACACCTACACAAGGGTCTCCTACCTGCTCGGAAACATCTTACATTTGTGGAGAAGGGAGGTCATACCTTGTGTTCTGCTTTTGTTGCTATGAAAATCAGATGAAATGCTGAACATACTTTGTAAAACTGAAGGGCACCATACCAGTGTGGCCATCAGGGTATTCTCTTTTTCCCAGAGGTCTAGCAACATGGGAGTTTACCATTTTACATCTTAAAATTTGGGGAAATGCAAGAGCTACGGGTTTCAAACAAAATGCGTTAACCGCAGAATGCTTCTTTGTGTACGTGTTGAGGGATATGACCCTAAAATGTATGAACAGGCCGACATCAGGCAGTCCTTGTAGAACTGGATGTCACTGGGACCCAATGATAGCCTGAATGTGTGTCTGATGCGCCCACGTTCTCGCTCTGTCTTTCCAGGGCTACCAGGACTCGAGGGACCGGGTGATGCACCGGTCCACCAGCCAGGGCTCCATCAACTCCCCCGTCTACAGCCGCCACAGTTACACTCCAACCACATCTCGCTCTCCCCAGCATTTTCACAGACCTGGTAAGGGTGCCTGTCCTGGAGATTCACTTTGTGTTGCCGTGTGATTTTCTTTTTTCCCACCACTGATAGTGTATTTAAAATCTGCTGCTAAATAGATCTCCCCTTTTCCCAGGAAAAAAAAAAAAAGAGAACTCCTATCTAACTATAATTTGTGTAATTTTGTGATTATATTCATTATGATTTATTAAATAATTACATTTTGACTGAATAGCGGGAAGCCAGGGAGATTTTTTTTTTCTTTTTTTAGACTTAAAGAAAATTTCATTACTTCAAGACTTAACATGAAGCTCTCCAAAGAAAATATTTTGATGTGTCTTTTAGGCGCATCTAAAATCTAGCATTGGTCATTTATTGGTGGGTTTGCTGTGTTTCCCTGAACCAGGCACAGGGTGTTACTAAGTGTGCTTGGTTAAGCACCTTCTAGAAGGAAGTATTACATGGCACCTCGGGGTTGTATTTGATAACTTTTCAGATCTGTTCTAGCCCTTAGATTTTGAACCAGACTTGGAAAACAAAAACATTAGAGACATATTAGGATAGGCAATATCGAACGGTAGTGGACTTCAGGTGACCTTCATCTGTGCACAGTGTAGTCCCGATGACTATTAGTGGGTGTCTCATGTGGAATGGAAAAATGGAGATCCCAGCATGGATCCAAGGTTCCCTGAGAACTAGACTCCCAGAGGGAGACCCTGGCCTTCTAAACCACCTTGGTGGCAGCGAACATCTAGGAAGACTTCCTTTTAAGCTTCTTGCTTCTGTGCAGGTTGATGAGAACAAACTCATTCATCGCTAACTTATTTGGTAAAATAGAACCAAAGGAAATGAACAGCATATAAAAAGGCTGCAATCTTTTCCTTAAAGCCATAGACTTAATGCACATAGAAAATTGATTTTTTTATTATATGATTCTTCAATAATGTATAGTCTTCTCTAGGTCATAAATAGTATTTGTTGAGTTACGTTAAATGAGACGTTTTCAAGAAATGGATTCTTTTTTTTTTTTTTTTTTTGCCATATACAACTATATTCATTTAATTCATGTCCTAGACCTGGGTCTGGACTTAAGCCCTCATCTGTGTGGAAGACAAGAAATCCTGTATGCAGCCACCCCTCCATGTAGGCATGTGCTGAGGTCATTGAGGCCACAGCCATGACCTTGTCAGCATGATGTGGGGCTACAGGGAAATTGTTGTTCCATGGGCCCCTGAATAATGAAGGGGTGTCCAGCCAGGGACATTATTTCCCTAAAAAATCATGTCACTGTTGAGCACTGAAAGTTTTCATTTGTTCCCATCATGTTCCGAAGCCAGCAGCCTCTAGAGCATTCCCAATTCTAAGTTCTCCTCCTCCTTTTCACGATACATTATGGGCATGCATGATGCCAATTTTTAGGATTTATAATTATTTTTTCAAGGTCTACCCTTGTCAAGTGAAGCCAATGGGGTTCTGACAGCAGGGCTGTGGTCGGTATAGAAAACCTCTGATTATCCTCCCTGCGGGTTCTAGATCCTAGATGATGGTACATGTTCCCCAGGTTTGGATTTAGTTACAATGGCGAGTTTTCCTTCCAAGATAATGAAGCTTCCAGTCCCCGTGTGCTACCACCACGCAGTTCTCAGGATCCTAAGTAGATCTTCACCACCCAGGGAATACAAACAGGTTTTCCTTCTACAAAAGCAAATAAAATTAAACTGCTACTAGGAGAAGTTGGCAGCCTAAAAAAAAAAAAAAAAAAAAATCCAACCTTTACATATAACTACTTCTTTTCAAGGTTCTTAAAATGATTATCGGGGGGTTTTTTTTGTTTTGTTTTGTTTTGTTTTTTGTTTTGTTTTTTTTTTACATGTGTTTCAAGGGTTCTGTTTTGTCAGGTGCTTTTTAAAAACAACTGAGTCTAAATGTTGTGCCAGGTACTGGCTCCAGAGTAGCCCATGTCATCCTGACAGAGAATGTCGTGGTGGCCATTCCTTCTCATAAAGCCATTTATTCCAGAGAGTGACTCTGTACCAACCCGAACCTATTTGCAAATTCTCCCCACTTTGCCTCTCCCTCAGCAGGTGCGTTCTTAACCCTTTTGCCTTCTTCCTTTTTCAGACTCCTGATTAACGTTCTTAATTCCTCCCCACCCCACCCTTGGAATGATGATGTTGTCCCTGCTCCTGTGTTAATTTCTGTTCTTCTTTTCTGTTTCCACCTGGCCCTGCCCCTGACTCCTTGCTGCACAGAGCTGCTGTCTCCTGGTGTGCAAAGGTTGTCCCACCTGCGCACCAGCAGCCTCAGCTCCGCCCACAGCGACTCCCGCCCCAACTCCCCCTTCCGACACCACTTCATTCCCCATATCAAAGGTAAGGAGGCAGGCTTCTCCAGGCAGCCCCCCCGCAGAGTGGAGATTTATTAGCACCGGGGAAGGCTAATAAGGCGCATCTCCAAGAGTTAGCTCCCAGCTTTCAACCTCTCCGCATGCCTGCGTGTGTCATGACCACACCCAGCGTCTTAGAACTGACATGGCCTCTCTCCGCGGGAGAGCTATGTCATTTCTGAGGGCTCTAGATGAAGAAACAGGAAGTATGTTTAAGACCATAAGATTTATTATCCACCCCTTAGGGAAAAAAACCATATATTATCATTTTGTTTTTCTGTGTGTCAAAAGCAAAATATAATATATAGTTGGGGTATTTTCCTGGTTTTGATATGTGATGTGGCTCAGCAAATTATACCCGCATTTAGCAACAAAAATGCAAAACTTGTCTTACTGGTGATAAGCCACTTAACCACTTAATGATATTAAAACATTTGGATGGTATACAAAGATCTGTGGCAATGTAACTTGAATTCCTCTCCTCAAACCAACCCTTTGAGTCATCAGTCCTCGTTTGACTGGTCGTGATCTCTGCACGATGCAGAAGAGCTTTGCCTTCTGTTTTCTGTTTCTGCCCTCCATCCTTGCCCATTCCCTTTATGGCATTCCCATTGTTTTCCTCCTTGTCCATCATGCTTCTGTAGCAGTCCTCAACTGGGGCTCCCGTTCCCCTCCATGTGTTGGGGGATCCAAGAGCCCTGAAGGGGTGTCAAAGGGGCCATAATTTAAAATATGTATGAGCTCCCAGAAGCATGCTAACTTGTTCCATAGTCTTTGATTTGATTTGATTTGAACGAAATTAACCCATGACAGTAGCTAAAGGAGGGAAGTGGCAGATGAGCACAGATGCTGTTAGGGGACTTGAGAGAGACCTAACAGATTCTAACCCTGTGATCCAAGCGTTCACGTCCTGAGCCCTGCTACTGAGTAGCCAAAATGTTGTTCCAGTTGACTGAGCTTTCATTTGTAGTCTACCCAAGTTATTTTCTTGCTGCTTACTTGGATTTTCGAGCAACTGAGTCCAAAAATATAAATGTACTTCACTTAATCAGTGTGCTGTTATTTTTATGTGTGCTACTTTAGCATTTTCTATGCCATAAAAATAATGTTGCTGACATGCTTATTGAAGATACACATTATTTGTCATTGGCAAAGGGATCAGCCTTTTTCAGTTGGAGCAGCACTTTCTAAAATTCTTGACAGATTACTTACGATTATTATTGCTAATTAGTATAGGGGGTGCTTTAGAGAATGTTTATAAAGTGGTGAGAAGTTATTTTAAAAAAACTTCAGAGATGTATTTTAAAGAGACTTTAATATAGAAGCTCATGGCCCAACTAAGGTTAGTTTGTTTGCTTCTAATATACAAGAGAAAAATAGGTTTTTAATTAAAAAATGTAAGCTCCCTTGTTCGGTTACTAGATCTTTCCAAAGAGCTGCTTTTTGGAGGAAGAAAAATGCACATGCCCTTTGTACAAATAACATGTCATGAAGTATCAAAACACAGAACCTCGTGTCTGTGCATGGCTTTATGGAGACTTGGAATGCCCAGATGGACACTGGACGCCTAGGTTTAAATATTATCTCTGTCCTGTGCTCGCTGTGGGACCTTGGATTGTTGACTTCACCTCCTGAGTGTTACTTGCCTATCTCGTCTATAGAACCTATCCTAGGTCGTTGGGGGTATATGAGGTCAAGAACCCTGTAGTAAGCACTCAGCTTGTCTATGACAATTTCCCCCGGGGCATGGTGCCCTTAAAGGAGTTTTGATTACATCATTCTATTCCATTCTCTGGTTAAGGGGCCCCTGGCCAAGGGCTCACGCCTGGGGAGTGCTGCATGGGACCAGACCCAAGCTCCCCACCCCACCCCCCGTGTGTTTCAGTGTAAATATACACGAAGGATAATTTTAAAAGCAAACTTCTTTTCCATCTCTGTTTAACTCAAAAATTGCATTCTTGTTGAGGCTAAGACGAACAGCTGCTTTCAGTCATTTAAATTTTTCCTTTTCAATAGGAAGACCAAATAGTAATAAAAATTACGTACCTTTGTCTACCCAAATGGTGCCTTACTAAAAATGTAGATATACAGTTGACCTTTGAACAATGTGGAGATTAGGGGCGCCAACTCTCTGTGTGGTGGAAAAGTCTTCGTATGAATTTTGACTCTCTAAAAACTTTACTAATAACCTACTGTTAACCCTTACTGATAATACAGTCAATTAACACATATTTTGTATGTTATATGTATTGTAGACTATATTCTTACAATAAAGTAAGCTAGAAAAAAGAAAATGTTATTAAGAAAATCAAGAGGAAAATAGCACTATTCCGTTTACCAAAAAGTACCCATGTATAAATGGACCCATATTGTTCAAACCCATGTCATTCAAGGGTCAGAGGTACATCGTTTTCTGTCTTTGGACTGAGTTTGAACTTTTTGACACAAATACTGTGATTTTAAATTGTAGAGACCACTAGGCCAGGAGGGATTAGCTTGACCTTGAGCTCACACTTAAGAAATACCTAATGATTTCTCTCCCATATGGCTATAGTTCATTCCTATAAAATAGTTTAAATACATCAGATACAAAATGTAATGTACATAAGGGTATATGCCTAGTTTTAAAATCAGATGTACTTTTTGCTAAACTACAAAATAAATCATGAAGAATTTATATAGTAAAGATGTTGCTTTAAAAGCCTAATATAGTTGGATAAGTAAAAGCTCATTCTTCAAGGAATTACTTCTTAGTTATTCCAAAAAAAACCTGTGTCCATTTCCATGGAAGACCTCTCCAGCACTTGGAAATTTCAACACGGAGGACATTTATGGCCTTTGGAGAAATACCTCTAAGGTGTCTTCAGAGTACAGCCAAGTCCACCATGGCCCTTCATTTAAATGTTCACGTTTTATCTTACAGTTCGTCTTAACAGTCTTGAGGTGGTTATTCTTAAGACAAACGAGGATGCCAGGGCAGGATGTATGTCCTTCTCAGGAATGTGTAGCTAGAAGCAGGGGGCCCCGTTGCCACTGTGGCAACTGGAAGTGCAGCCCCACCCGCACCCCGCCATTTCCTAAGTCCACCTCCTCGTCCTTTTTGTGACACATGGGTCCGGAACCCCCCAGGGTTCGTGGAGCTGAGGATGCTGCGTGTGTGTAAAGCTAAGATGCCCATCACAGGCTGTCTCTCTATTCCACTGGCTTCTCCAACCACGTTCTAGAATGTCCGTCTTGTTTCCCGCTGTGTTTTTATTTCTGTTCCCTAGACTCTTCTGCAGCCTCATTCGATGTTGGTATGTCGTTGCTGGGCCACGTGAACAAGTACATGCTTAGACTTGAAAAGCTTTTCACTCTGTTCTGAGCTTTGTCTCTGTCATGTTTGCTGAGTTTCTCTTCCCTCCCCTTGGAAATACTGTTAGACGTTACGTTCTGTATCCACGAGGTAGAAAACAGATGTGTGACCCAGAGAGCTACCTATATTAAGTCTCTTTGAAAGGAATCTTTGCTGTTCTGCTGTAGAAATGATTTTCTCTGATCCAAATATTTGACACTTGCTGAAGAAAACTATAATGCTTGTTGAAACTTGAGACAAAAACCAACAATCCTGAAACTCTGTCATGAAATTCTAGAGGCTGCCAACTTTAAGATCCCCTCAAAATACTCATTTATATTTTGGAACAAGAGTACTTAGCATCCAGAAAACCAGGCAACACTCCAGCAGGTGCCCCCAGCAGACACATGCACAGCCATTTTGATTTACTTGTCTCAGGATTTGTCACTTGGGCTCTCAGGGTACCAAAAAGAAGATTGAAAACAGGAACAGAGCATTCGAATTTGTTAAGCAAGTGATTTATCTCCCAGACGGAAAAATCAGCTTATAAAGCTGGCGTGGAAGGAGCTCACTGTGAAGGCTAAGAAATATTTATACGCAGTAGCTTCTCATCACAGTAGCTAAGATCACTGACAACTGAGAGTCAGTCAGTACAAGGAAGGACTTACTTAAGGAACAAAATGGCTTTGAATGTGATAGGTACAATATTCTATGACATACACACTATTATGTTATTTTTAAACAGTGTCTGCATCTCCAGGCTGATGATGTTGATGATGATGATGGCAGTATCTTCCGTGTATGGTCTTTTCCTGTGACACCATATGTATTACTTTGCCTAAGTAATGCACTAGGCATAAAAATAATATTTCCGGGCCCTCCTCAGTTACTTCCTTCTAGAATAGATACGGGTTTTTAAGTTAGGAAAGAGGACTTACCTTGAGAATTTTTCTTTTTCTTTGAAAATGCCAAAAAATGGGACCTGGGTGGCTCAGTTGGTTAAGTGTCCAACTGTTGATTTCAGCCCAGGTTCTTGATCTCAGGGTCAGGAGTTCAAACCCCACGTTGGGCTCCACACTGGTCGTGGAGCCTACTTAAAAAAAAAAAAAATGTCAAAGATATTTAATGCCTTTGGTGTTTCAGGGGCTAAGAATTTGATACCTAGCAACAATATTCTTGAGACTTGTTCCCAGTGAGACGAGCGGAAGTCATATTGTTCAGAGTCCCTTAGATGGGTGCGTTGTTGAGTCTCTCTTTGCCTAGTGCTTTAAAATGTTTGTGGGAGGTTTTGATTGATTCTAGCATTAAATCTATTTATAAGGACTTGAACATGGTAGTGAGGTTGTGTGTGTGTGTGTTTTTAAGCAACTAGAAAGGCCAATGTTTGCTGAATACACAGCCGAATAAAGAACTATGCCCAACAAGAGACAGCATTCAGCCGAAATTCACCCATTGGGAGTCCAGACAGTTACTCCCCAGTCTTTGAGAGTCATTTGCCCTAAGAAGTGGTGGGCTTCTCCTACCCCTTGCCAGCAGACCATCTCCATGATAGATTTTTAATACTTGGGCAAAGGCTCACCTTAAACCTTTGCGTCCCATCTATGCAGACACTTTTGCGTATGCATACCACAGGCTAATAATGATCAGACCAAATTTAATAGAGTTTCATCTGATTGGATATTATCACCAAAACCCGTGAGAACATTTCCCTGAGATGTCTGATGTCTTCCCCCGGGAGGAAGGGCAGAGTGGAAGGCCAGAGAGCAGTGTGGTTCCGAAGCAGGAGCAGCCAGTGTTCAGGATATGCAGAAAGCTACCTTTCTAGACCTTCTTTTGAGAACAGCCCCCCAGAACTATTCTGTTTTTCAATTATGAATTGCTCTCGTAAGTTCTGATGTTTACAGGAGTAAAGAATTCCTCTGGAGTGAAATAGTTAAGTAGGGGTTATCGAGGATCTAGTGGGAAAGTGATAAAAAGATGTTATTGTGACCCTGTTCCTCAATACAGGCCTCTGGTGCCTTTATCCAGGAGCAAGGTGAAGGTTAGTCCTGCAGTGGTGCTTACTAAATTCGGCTGTTAATAGCTCAAGAATTCGTGAGTGGGCTACTTCAGTCACTCATTACCAGGCATTTATAAGGTCCCTGGGCTTGGCCAGGCACTGTGCTGAGCACAGAGAGATGAACGGGACCTAGTTCTAATTCAGCGGAAGATTTAAAATAGGACCGACTGCTGCATGTAAGCCACATTCTTCCTTCCTCTGCTTGCCTCTACCAGTGTCTTTTCATTTTTTTCGGATGTGAGCTAGTTATTTCTCATTTGAAGAGTGATAATAAATGAAATGACTTTTTAAAAAATTAACCTTTGAATAGATAGGCAGTTTGGGATGAAGCCTCATAATTTTTTAGAAGCTAATACCTGATTTAAATAGTAAAGTCTACGTTATAATGTATTGGGAGGTAAACGTGAAACGGACTCTTGTGGGAAAAAAGAGAAAAGCTTCCGAACATGATAACTGAAAACCGGGAATCTAACCCGAAGCCAGAAACAAATTCCAGTCTCAGTCGGAAGGTCTTGCTGCCTATTCAGTACAGATGCTCTGGTTACCGAAAAATACGCGTTGAGGAATTAGAACTACAGAAAGCACGTTATTTAAAGCTCCAGCAATGGATATCTTTTCTACTTTGTGGGGCATGTTTAGAGCAGCTTGGCTTACTTGAAGAAATCAACTTGTGCTCTGTTTTCTGAAGATCTGTGGTTTGTTTCGTATCATTAGCATTAGTTGATAAATTACACTATGAAAACTCCCAACTTCTGTGCTTCAGAGAGCACTATCAAGATAGTGAAAGACAACCCACAGAACGAGAGGAAACGTTCGCAAGTCGTCTGTGTATCCGAAAAGGGACTTGCATTCAGAATATATAAGGAAGTCTTCTAACTCAGGAACAGAAGTAATCGCATTATAGTTCGTTAACTTCTGATGGTCCCCTGCACCTTCTGGTGTATTTTTGGGGCAGAGGTTTTCTCAGACATGGGGTAGGAGGACAGTTTAGGGCAATAGCTGACCTCTGATAGCCCAAGGCAAGCCTTAGTTCATCCTGGCCGGAAGGGGTGATAATTGGCCTTGGCGGAACTCAAGGCTTTGCAGCCAACGCCAGCTAGCCTTTCTAGCCCCTTCCCTATTCTCTCCTCCAAGAAGACCCCGCTGTCCAGCCACAGTGGCTCAGAGTGTTGTTCCTACACACCATGGCCCTTCTAGGCCTGCTTACCCCTCAGCTCACCCTCCCACCTGGTATACTTACTCCTTGACACCCCGCTCAGTCTAACATCTTAGCTCTGTGCACGAATTGATGGCACCCTCACCTGAGCAAGCATGTCCGTGTCACAGTCTGTCTCCTTAGGTAGCTTCTGAGACTGGCCCCCCCTCACAGGCAGGGATGACTTATCATTCATCTCCATGTCCTCAGTCATAGCTCAGTGCCCAGCCATGGTAGGTGTCCAGACCTGTTTCACAGATGAAACTGTTGGACTGGGTGGAGCCTCAGAGAAGCCTTGGAAGAGGCAGGTGGAGAGAGGAGTAAGAGGTCGCAGAGTCCCTGGGAGGAAGGGCTCTGACTCTGCGGCGTGTATTGCACAGTGAGGAAACAGAAGCATTTGCTGTGAGTGCAGGCACTTTGCATTGCTAAGGGGAGGGACTGGGTGACCACGCAGGGTCCCAGATACACGTAGCCTTCCATTCAGAGAAATCCATTCCAATCGCCAGCCTCTGCCGTCGTGCCTGGAAGTGACTGTATTGGGCTTGCGTATCCTGCCCTTTCACATGCTTGGGACTTAATGGTCTGACAACTGATCCTGAATCATTACCAAGTGACCTTCCATGACTCTTAATGTACACTCCATCTAATCAGTTTGCTGCTAGCTCACGGCCTTCAACCGCATGCCATTGGAATGACGCATCCTACCGCTAGCTGCTTCTAACCCAGTTCCACGCGAACTCAAGTCTCTCTTGCGGAAAACTAAACCTTCTATCACCCTGTGAGCCAAATGGATAAATTGAGTTTGTTTCCTCTGTTTCTCCTTTTGGATGTACCTCCTTCCGGTTTGTTTCGAATTTTTATTATGCTTGCTTTGTTTTCTTTATTGCTGTCCCTTCTCTTATTTTGTTTTTTCCATTCTTCTCATTGGAGGCAATGAGCCGTCCAGCGGCCGGAACTCCCCTCTCCCTTACCGGCCAGACAGTCGTCCTCTCACTCCAACCTATGCTCAGGCCCCTAAACATTTCCATGTTCCAGGTAGGAGCTGACACGGTCTTTGTCTGGGTGTCCTGTCACGGTGTAGAATGTAGCACTGTTACCTGTCTCGTCTCATTCCTCACGCTGTCTTCATCGGGATGCACATGGTTGACAAACCCTAAATTGCACGATCTGACCCAGAAGGCCTCTCAGAAGTTTGGGATGTGAAATGCCAAGGATTGTGTGGAAGGTTTAAGTTTTCTCAAAATTTTTTGAAGGGAGGGGGGAAGCAGAGAGTGAAGGAAGGAGGGTTGAGTTGCCTTGTTTTGTTTTTACTGAGATTTTAATTTAAATTTACGGAGATTTTAATGAGTGCCTTTTGAAGTTGCCGCTCTGTGGTGTGGTGTCGTTGCCGAATTGTCACAGCGGCATTCTAGTTACCGTCCCGTCCTCGAGGATGAGCCACAGCATCACTCAAGAGTGATTTTATTTCCTCCTGTTTGTCTCCTGTGGGGAGATTGTTTCTGTGAACTTTTCAGAGAGGTATAAAATTGGATCATTTGCTTGGTCCTTCGTAGTTCATAACCAACTGACTACCTTCTTAGCCCACAAAGATATCTTGCAATTTAGGCTTGGTGCTGTAAGCTTTGCTGAAGTCATAAGCATTTGCTGTCATGGTACAAATAGTAATTTGCCACCAAGATCTGGAAAACTCAGAACCCAACAGTATCTTAATGTTTAGAGTCAACTCAATTTTTAAGGGCAAGGTTGGCCATCAGAGGTCATGATATTTTTTTTTTCGCATCAGAAGTACATTGTTTTCTTCTAAGCTACTGAAAATGGTTTAATAAATTACCCATTATGTTAATATTAGGACACATATTTGGAATCTGTAAGAGTTTTTTTGTTTTTTTTTTTTTTTTGCATTCCAAGCTTAACCTCATAAAACAGAGGAAAGTTCAGTGAGATTCATACCGCTAAGATAGAACTGCCTTTTAAAATAAAGCTTCACTGAACCTTGAAAATCAGTTGTTGTACATTTGCAACTTTGTACATGAAGAATGCCCCCACCAAGATACAGTGCCCAAGATTGGGGGGAAACAGACCTTTTGAAATTTCCTGAGTATTTGCAGTCAAAGCGAAACTGTAGCATTATCAGATGGGGTCTTGTATAAATAAATGAATAATATTTGGCATCTCTTTTCCTTTCTCTTTTTGAAAAATTTGACCTATACTAGTTAGGATTCTCTCAAACATTCTGTCAGCACATCAGACTAGCCTTGCACATAAAAACTGTTTCTGTGTTTTAAAAAACTACTCTTAATTGTATTACATTGCTTTCCACTGTTCCACTCATTAGTTGAAAAGTAAATTGAGCCCCTGGTATCCACTTGGAGCTCAATTTCTAGACAGTAGCTATTTGGGGGACCTTCCCCAAACTGGTTATGTCTTCCTCACCACTGGAGTTCCTCCACTGCTTCCATTTCTTCCTGTTTTAATCCCACTTTTAGTGAAGTGCGTATTTGCAATAAATGGCTCATGAATTAGTTACGTCTCTATATATCCTAAGATGTATTACAAAGGATTCCATATCACTTGTCTGTAGTAATTCACTCATCCATGGAGCTTCTTCCAGGAACTTCGGTCTTTGTAATACAAAAGTTAACCTTCGGGGTTGTTTTTGTTCAAGAGTCTTCGGTTTAGTTTGCCTCCCTCTTGGTTGATCTGTTTTTCCCATCGCTGAACAGGTTCCCATAATTACACACCTTTGCTTTTCATTTCCACAGATCAAGGGATCAACATTTACAGAAAACCACCCATCTACAAACAGCATGGTAAAACCCGCTTTCCTCTGCATAGCTTTTAAGTAGGGGCACCCACTGAGCTCTGCTGTCCTCTGAAGGGCTTCTCTGCTGCTGCTTTTGGGAATCAAACTGGGGCGCCCAGCGCATTATGCTTTTATGGGTTCCTAAGATGCAATTACTGTGAGATTGGTTTTCTTAGAAAGAGAATGGCTTAGCTTGGTTAGGAAGTTCCCAGTAATTCACAAAAAAAAAATTTTTTTTTTTTGCCATCAGATAATATAATCCAGCCTCTATAATAATTTGGATGAGCTTCTAATTAATTTAATTAAAATAGTGAAGGCCAGCTACCTAGAAAAATTAACTGGACTAAGCCTACATCAGCTTGACTCTCTAGTTCCCCAGTTTCTTAACGGGCATGCAGATGTCTGCGCCTTGCGGTAGAATGGACAGGACACACTCCAAGACCAGGGACCTAATCTGGTCCCAGCCCTGGTCCCAGCCCTTGCCCTCAATGGTTCTGTGATATCACGGACACAATTTCTCTGTCCTTCAGTAATTTCTTATAGGCAGCAACTAGTGAGTTAGGCCAGCTTGTCTCTGAAATTCCTGCAAACTGAAATCCCTAACGTGGATTTATAATTGTGCTTTCCTTTTCTGGAAATAGAGAATTTTTAAACCCAGGAATTCACATTACCATAAGTAAATCACGTTTCCCCCCAGCATTATTAGGTCTCTATAGATGAGGTGCCGTAGATCTTTGTGAAGGGAGAGAAAGCCAACACTGGTCTTCAGGTGATTTCAGAAAATTATACACAAAATGTGCCTGGAAATTTGAAGGCTGCCTTTAAAAAATCTAGTAGACGTTAATGAGTTCTTAAGGATTAGGATGACATGTAAAGCAAAGAAAGTTGAAAATGTACAAGGAAAAAAATTTAGGCCAACATTCTAGGGGGAAAAAAGGACGATGGACATACGGTAATGACTCTAGAACTGTGATTTTTTTTTTTTCTCATCTTTTTTTTTAAAGATTTTACACCATGTGCTTGCTTTTTTAAGTTTGTTAACATTGTTTTTGTTTGTTTTTTTATGGTTTAATGTCTTCTCACCCACTCATTAACATGTGAATGTTTACTGACTTCACCAATTCTAATGCGTAAGTACTGTTTGAAGTCATGCTTTTCTTTTTTTCTAAATTTAGGAATGAGACTCCCAAGAGTTTGGTATATCAATGGAGAAACTGTTTTTATTACTAAAATCTCTAAGGCCCTGCCTCTCTCAACAAACATAATCAAATAATTAAGATTTAAAGAGAGTAGATAGTGTTAGCTTATTTATTTGAAAGAGACTTTTTTTTTTTCCCTGAAATGTACTCTGACTTGACTCTTTGTTATCATTGAAAGTAGCTCAGTCAGAGTGCCTTCCCAAAGGACAGTGTTCAAAAGAGCAGTTCCAGGGGATGGAACTAGAGGGCGCGATAAAAACTGCATTTGGAAAATGCTAGATTTAAATAAAGTCACGCTTCTTTTTTTTTTTTGGTAATGCAGAACAGCTCCGTCTTTAATATGCTAACGCATGTTGTCCCTCTTTAAGAAGAAGATGTTCCTCTACAGTGTTTTCAAGGCTGAATTTTTAATTCTTTTTTTCATGAGGTTAAAGAGTCAGAGAAACACTACCCCATGCTTGGCCAAGACTTCGTCCCTGACAAGTCTATAGGGTGACCTTGGTCAAGTTGTTTCAGGAAAACGAGACCCAGAAGGTTCCTCCAAGAGTGGGCAGTTCGAGCTGAGGATTCAGAAAAATTATTTCCAGATTTTAAAATATGTTAGCCCAGAGAGGGGGGAAAGTTTCATTTAAAGCATTCTAACTCTACTTGAAATGTTTAGCAACATCCCAAGCCAGTCTGCCAGATTAGCCAGAATCAGGATCTGACCATTAAACCTGGTTTGTTGTGTTCCAGCCCTGTGATTAGATTGGGAGCTCTCAGCCAGGGACTCCTCCTTTAAGCAGAGTCATTAAGAACGCTCTGAACTAAGGTCCTTGCTAGTTTGGCTTTTGTTGTTTTAAAGTTGGATGACTCACTTGTATGTGCAGACCCTTGAGAAAAACAAGGAGTGTTCTGCATACGTAAGGCGCCATGTTGAATTCCTACAAGCTGAGAGCAGACTTTCCCATTGCCATTTCTCCTAGGACTCAAGACACATGTATAATACGTGAGGATTAGAGTGAACTGGACAGATGTTAGTTAAAATGAGCAGAAACAAATACCCTAAGAGACAAAACCAGCCCTGTCAGTCAAATGACAGTGTCATGTTTTTAACTTAGTTCTTTAATTTCAGATTGCTAGTTCAGATTTCTAAGTACTCTCGAAGAGTATTAACCTGATGGAACTTTCTGTGATGATGGAAATGGTCTACCATTGTGCTTCCAGTATGGTAGCCACGAGTCACAGGTGGCTACTGAGCACTTAAAATGCAGCTACTGCAGCTGAGGAAGGGAATTTTAATTTTATTCATTTGTTGGTTTCGTTTAATTTTATTAATTGAAATTTAAGTAGCCACATGTTGCTAGAGCTGGTATTGGACAGCCCAGCTCCGGAACAAGGTGTTTTAGATGTTGAATGAAGTTTTGCTTCCAGCAGAACATAAGGAAAATGAGTTGGCACTAGGCCCTCCCGAGTGGCTGGGCAATTGATACTGGTTATAAACAGCTTTCTAGAGTTGAAACTTTTGCCAGAAAACAAGAAAACTGTGTAAGTGGGTTGTACCACCGTGGCCTTGCAGACCAATAGCTAAGCTCCCCCTGATTCCCACCTAGATGCAGCTGCCTTAGCAGCCCAGAGCAAGTCTTCAGAAGATATCATCAAGTTTTCCAAGTTCCCAGCAGCCCAGGCTCCAGACCCCAGCGAGATACCAAAGATTGAGACGGACCACTGGCCCGGTCCCCCCTCACTTGCCGCCATAGGTATGCAACTGCGACAGCTAAGCCCCATGGACAAATTGGTAGGAGATTGCAAATGAAATGCTTCAAAATACACGAGAAAATATGTCCTATTGTAAAGACTTTTAAGAAAATAAGACGAGAGGTAGAGAAAAGCACTGAGGTAGTGTTCACGTGTGTGCAAAACACTTCAAAATTACAAAAACCCAATCACCAGAGCCTTGCACTAACCAAGCCACTGAGAGGCAGACAGAACTGGTCTAAAACAGATGATTGGCATGGACCTCAAGAGTTACTACTGCAAAATCAGTAACTCTTGAAACAGTGGAACCAAAGCCTCCTGCCAAGAACACTGTCCTGTCTAATTAGTCTGGTGGGCAGATTTACTGAGTGTCCACAGAGGCGTGACTTCTTTCAGTTAAACTTGTTTTAGACTATTTCTGGGTTATAATTTCAATTCTCTTAACAACTAGTCTTAACACAGAAGCCCTCGCACCTTCCTTGCAAGATCACGTTCTCCGTCACTAAGAAGGGCTGACGCAGAGTCGTGGATGTTCTAAAATTCTACTCGTGTAGTTATGTGATCTTCCATCTATCATTTCCATGAAGTCTGTGCTAAAACGTCACATTTGAGCTGTTTCATTCATTGCGTTGAACCACAGATCTATGCTTTAGAACTGTGTCAGTGTTTTTACTGTTTTGTCAGTTGTGAAATCATTTGGCCTAAAAAGTGCTATTAGCAAACTCAGAAGCTAATACTGAAAATTGAGTGAGTCAGCTTTACAAAGATACAACTGTCATCACATTTCCGTTGACAACCTTTGAAAAAAGGCCTTCAATTTTCCAAATTTCCAAATTTTCTTCATCATGCTTTTTCTCAACAAGTTATTTTCTGGAACAACTTTTACAGACGTGTAGGTGGATGTTAAAGCAATCTATGTAGAAATAACTTGAAGGAAAAATTTACCTCCCTGGGTTTATGATTTGCAAGTACTCTATATATCATGTTGACTTGAGACTATCTGATTCTTACAAACTTGTGTCTTCTAGTTTTTATTAGTAGAGATTGAAGAGTGAGCATTCACAGTGACATTTATGATTTTAAGAACTAAGAATCAGTCCTCAGCTTTTCTCGGCCAGACTCTGTCCCACAGGCAATTCCTGGGGCCTTTGGGGTTCCTAGTTCAGTCTTGCTGCTTCATGGGGACGTAAACAGCTAAATTTAGGGGAAAGGAAGAACTAATATTTTGTTCTTAAAATCATCATCACTAACTAGTTTAAAGCTTTTTGGGTTCCAAAATGAAGAAAAATTCTGGCCCATTAATTAAAATGATAAAAACGGAGACCATTAGTTCAAGTTTATTTTGATTAGATTAGCAAGCTTTCCTGTTTTCTCCCACAGCCAGATTAATCCAAGCAATTTAGGAAAAACAATAATTATCTTAATTTTACAACCATTCAGACAGATTCCTCCCTCTTACTCCCTCACTCCCCTTTCCCAAGAAGCTTAAAAATTGTAAATGATCTGCTAGATTGGACTAAAATAGCTCACTTTTTTAGCTGTCTTAACACGATGCATTGACCCATTAGTATAAAACTCTTTTGTGACCATTTTTTTCAAAGGATTGAGGGAACGAAACATTTGAGACTCACCTCTTAAAAGAAAAATAAAAGCATGGTTCTTAACAAATTTATTAAGGGCAGAAGACAGGGTGATCGTTATAAGGACAAGTCTAAATATTCAGAAAAAGAGAAAACTAGAAGATTACAAAACATGTCACGAGAGAGTGACTCTCTTACCTGTTTAATGGTCATGGACATGAATTTGGGTTCCTCCCTGTTTGAAAGCTGACCTCGGGGTCATCCAAAGAATAAGTCTGGATGCCCCTCCCCACTACTACAGAGGGCTCTGGCCAGCGGCCAGTGGGATGACTTAGACTCAATCATAATGGCACTCAGTGTCCTAACTGAACAGGTCAGTTGTTAGGAGGCCAAAATTCACAACTTACTGGATCCCACATCGAACTTGCCTGAAACCCGAAACCCACCAGCAGGGCTGCATTGGCGGTGGGCTCTTCTTGCATCATGGGCTCATGAACGTTAAAGACCCCTGCCGATGTTACCGTGGACAAGTTGAGCGCAGGTGGACTAGTCCCTTAAGGTCCCTTTGCTGTGGGGCTGATGTGAGAAGTTGTCTCTGCTGTGGAATTAGGAGCCGACACGAGACGCAGATCTGGCGGCAGAGAAGATGACGAGGAGGAGCTGCTGAGGCGACGGCAGTTGCAGGAAGAACAGCTAATGAAGGTTTGTCCTTCAGCTCCTTTGCTGTGGTCTTCAGTTCAGTTCCCTAGATCGGGAGTTTTTCGAATGGACCCCGTGGGTGAGCCACCGAGGGAAGGAGAGGCCATCCCAGCCCTCAAAGGGCTGGAAATCCAGTAGGCGAGAGGAGACAGGATTCTAGTGACCCAAAGGCAGGGTACTTAGTACTGAGTGGGTTCCAGAAACTCGAGCTTCTGCAAGGAGAGCCAGACCACGTGGGGGGTGTGGGTGTGCAGGGCATGTGTCGAAAGGGCTAGGTGAAGCCATGTTCAGCCACGTGGTGCGACACCTGCATTCCTCCATGGAGACTCTGCTGAAGGAATTCCCTTGGGGTTGAGTGTTTCTCCAGGGCTTGTCCCAGGACTTGAAGGTCCTTGTGTGTCTGTCTGGGCTAGGAGGGCGGGGATAAAATGGACTGCCACCAAGACGTCCTCGTTATACACCCCCACAGCATCCCGGAAGACCAAAAGAAGGATAGTCCGTTAAAGCCTGGGGTAGAGGGAGCCAAGACATTGTATACTGTCCCAGCAATCAGGGAATGATGAGTCCCTTCATGTCCCTTGACATTTTCCAAAGATACTTAATCATATGGGAAATGCACATGATACCAGTTATATGGAGGGAGAGGATACAAAGTTGCATTTATAGCATGATCCCAGTTCTGTATATGTGCATAGAAGAATGCTGGATGGATATAAATGAAATGTAAATGGTGGTTATCTCTGAGGGGTGGATTATGGGTTACTCTTCTTTCCTTCTAGATCTCCTAAAATCTGTGCAGTAAGCTTGTCTTACTCTTCTTTTCTTGTTTTTAAACAATTCAATGAAATTTGTTTTTAAAGGATACTGTCCCCAAACTCCCCTTTGCACATCAAAAATCGCCACACAGCCACACCTGCCTCCTGAGGTCTCCTGCTGGCACATTGGGGAGGGCAAAGGGGAGAGAACAGTCTTCAGACATGGAGCTTGTCCCATGCTTGTCTGAGAGGGGTTCAAGGTCTAAAACCTGGCCTATCCCTTGAGGAACCACCAGGCTCTGGCACTGTGTGTGTCCAGGCCACTCCATGGTCAGGAATTTCTTGCAGGACCTTCTAAAACAGAAACTGCCATTCTGATGATAATTGTGGGCTTCACTCTCATTTTCCTTTTTTTGCGGTAGCTCAACTCGGGCCTAGGGCAGTTGATACTGAAAGAGGAAATGGAAAAGGAGAGCCGGGAGAGGTCGTCCCTGACTACCAGTCGCTATGATTCTCCCCTCAATTCAGGTGAGCAGCAGGCCCACCGCCTTCTCCCAGCCAAGAGCCAGCCACCTGCCTGCAGGGAGCCCATCTGGACTGTTGCAGGAGAGGCAAGGCCATTCCTGGTGGAACCTGCAGAGTGTTCTATATGAACAGAAGTATGGGAAATGCACTGCATGTCAATTTAGCTTATGAGGTTGCCATAGTTTGGAGCGCCTGGGTGACTTACTCAGTTAAGCCTCTGCCTTTGGCTCTGGTCATGATCCTGGGGTCCTGGGATCAAGCCCATGTAGGACTTTCTGCTCAGCAGGGAGTCTGCTTCTTCCTCTGCCCCTCGCCCTGACTTGTGCTCGCTCGCTCTCTCAAATAAATAAGAAGCTTTTTTTAAAAAGCATGCCATTGTTCTTCCTTAAATGTATATTTCCTTCATGTTGGAGATGGGGGAACCCTTGGAGGATTTTTCTTTTTCTTTTTTTTTTTTTTTTTAAGATTTTATTTACTTATTTGAGAGTGAGAGAGAAAGAGCACAAAGAAAGAGGGAAAAGCATATTCCCCACTGAGCAGCAAGTACTACATGGGGCTTGATCCCAGGACCTTGAAATCAGGACCAGAGCTGATGGCAGATGCTTGACTGACTGAGCCACCCAGGTGCCCCATCCTTGGAGGATTTTGTGAAGGGGGTCAATTCAGGATATTCATCTTAGAGGGAATCAGCAGAAGGAAATTCTTACAGAGAACAGAATGCTTTGGGGCATTTGGAGATACGGGTATATCTCTGTATCTGTAATATATGGAACACACACACAGTCACACATATATATAAAATTAAAAGTAAACATTAAAAAAACACTCAGTCATTGAGAGGTCTAGATTTGGCAAGGAAGGAAGGTACATGATCAGGATTTTCTGTCTTTATGGTGTTTACACTCTCTGCTGGGAAAAGAAGACATCCACACATGCCGAAGAAACCAGTGGTAGTATCTTACCCTGGAAAGGGTCTCAGGCTTTCTAAGTCCATGCCCCTTCAATTCCTATTACCTTATTTCTGTTAGAGAAGAACTATGATTTTTGGCTCAGGGAACTCAGTTTTGCAGAAGAGACTTCAAAACAATTGATTAAATTGATTCATCCTTTTAATCTAGAACATAATACGGCAGTGTGAATCAAGAACCTTATAGTTCATTTTATTTTGACTCTTCTCTTAGAAAGGGGGGGAGGGAATGGAGTGCTTTTTGATCGTGAACATTTTCAAAATACTGTTTTTGCATTCAGATTTCAATAAAAGAGCTGAAGACCAACAGTGTTGTTTTTGACACTTTGGAAGATTATACATTGGGCTGAAACACTCTTATCAGTATATTTTGTCCTGCTTATATTTGTCGGAAGCCAAGTCTCTCTTCACCCACAAGATTTCTTCTCCCATGTTCTGAACTAGTGCATAATTTTCCCTCTTGAAGGTTTCTTTTTTTTTTTAAGATTTTATTTATTTATTTGAGAGGGTTCATGAGAGAGAGAATGAGCGGAGAGAGAGGGACAGAGGGAGAGGGAAAGGCAGACTCCCTGCTGAGGAGGGAGCCCCTATGTGGGGCTCAATCTCAGGATCCTGGGATCATGACCTGAGCCGAAGGTAGACGTTTAACCAACTGAGCCACCCCTTGAACCTTGAGGCTTCTTTAAAAACGTGTTTAGTGTTTCCTACATGCAAGCACTTTTGTTAGACATTGCTCCATTTATTTTCACAACATGCCAATGAAGTAGGTGATATTATTCTTCCCATTTTGTAGATCAGGTAACAGGTATAGGATGTTTAAGGAACTTACCCAATGTCCCATTATTAATAACTAGCAAAACTAGGATTCTGTAGTCCAAGCATTGTAACCCCAGAGCCCACATTCTGAACTGGAATGCCCTGCTACCTCTCCTTGATGCCTCACTGGCCTCGATCTCAATTTGGTGGTTTACTAATCTTCAGAGTTCCTTCTGATCCTGTAGTTCTGTTCTGTAAGAATACATAGCACAGTATCTACATGAGTCAAGAAACAAAGACTTGCAAAGATGAAATACCACGCTGAGGTGTTAAGTTGCAGAGCCAGAATCCAAGCTCAGGTCTGCTCACTGCAAAGCTCCACAGTTGATGTAATGTCATGCTGTTGATTAATGCGATATCCTATCCCATGCCTCTCGGGAACTCAGCTGTGGTGAGCCAGGAGAGCATGACAACATACATGGTGGCTTTCAGGTCAGTTACCGTCACCATACCAACTGGGGCATGAGCTTATGCATCCAGATGGCCCTGGGTTCCAATCATTGCTTAGCTGTTTATAAGGTGAGCGAGCCACCTTGGACAAGGTCAAGGTTAGCCCCTATTTCTTCTCCTAGTAATATGATAGTGCTATTGGGGTTGTATTGAAGATTTGGAGGTAAAGCAGAACCAAGCATCTCTTCCTGCTCCATCCACTCCCTGCATTACCCAAATGTGGTGGCCTTTCATGAGCATTAGAGCCCAATATTATTTCAGTTATTTTTTTGTTCTCTTTTTCTGTGTATTTTCTATTCAGTTAGGTAGAAGATGCATTGCCACTTTCATAAGAGAATTGGACTTCTGGGGACACCTCGTTGGCTCAGTTGGTAGAGCATGCAGCTCTTGATCTTGGGGTCATGAGTTTGAGCCCCACATTGGGAGTAGAGTTTACTTAAAAATAAATAAATAAATAAATAACTTTAAGAATTGGACTTCTGATTTCCTTTTTTTTACCTTTTCTCATTCAGCTTCACATGTTCTATCATCTAAAACCTCATCTCTCCCAGGCTATGGAAAAAATGGGCTTCACCGGGTAAGATTTCTCAATTAATTGTTCCTGAGTTGATTCCCTCTTCAGTCCTGGTTGAAGTGCTAATAGACTGTCTGACTATGTCTGATAATATGATCTCAGTATTACAATATAATAAAAAATGTAATTCCCCTGATCTCCTGGCAAGTCCCTTAAAGTTACAGGCAAAATAACATATTTCTATTGAGAGAAAGAGAAATTGACTTTAGATGAGAGAGTAGCCTGTATAAGCTGGTGGGAAGACTATATTAATTAATTGTGTGGCAAATATTTCCACAGTCAAGCTACAAGTAATGACTTGAGCCCTTATCTCTGTTATAAAAGGATATGGGAAAGTTTGTTGCTATTGCCCTCCCCAAAAAGCATAGAACAATGCAGTTGTGTAGCTAGCTGCATGGAGAAATGTATTTTCATTTATTGGCAAAAGATAACTTGCTTACCCAGCACCTGCTGGCATTGGATGCCCTGCAGAAGACAAAGAGATTTTGTAATAGTAGAAGACAAATAACGAAGGTCCAGGAATTCAGCTTGGGAAGAATTCTGAGGATTTTGTAAATCCTTTCTTCCTTTTCACCTGACTCCAAAACCATGGTTCTGGAGCAGATTGTCTAATGGTGTGTTTTTTTGTTTGTTTGTTTGTTTGTTTGTTTTATCATTTCAGCCTGTTTCCACAGACTTTGCTCAGTACAACAGCTATGGGGACGTCAGTGGGGGAGTGCGAGGTAAGACCTGTGTGCCTGGGCTGCTGAATGACTGGCCAAGTCATTGAGAAGAGGTTGCACAGTCAAGTGTACATTGGCTGGGTTCATGCTGTCTGTCATCTGAAAGTCAGATCACAGCTAGCCTCTGGGAGCTAGTGGAGCATGTATTAAAATTGCAAAGCAGGAGATAGTTCAAGATTATGGAGGAGTAAGGGACCTTAGTTTCATCAGGTCCCAGGAATTCAGCTGGACAGTTGTCAAATCATTCTGAACACCTGAGAAGTCAACCTGATATCTAAGAAAATAATATCTGCAACTCTACAAATAGAAAAGTGAACACTTTCTGCAAGAATGACAAGATGGAAAAACTTGTATCAGAGAAGAGAACAAGAGGCAGTACTGACTGCCAGGAACCTAATCAGTATGGATATAAGTAAGCTATCCAAACTAGAGTTCAGAATAGTGATTATAAAGATACTGGGTGGGCTTGAAAAAAGCATGGAAGACACTAGAGAATCCCTTTCTGGAGAAATAAAAGAACTAAAATCTAATCAAGTCAAAACCAAAAAGGCTATCAATGAGATGCAATAAAAAATGGAGGCTCTGTTAGGATAAATGAGGCAGAGGAGAGAATTAGTGATCTAAAAGACAAAATGATGGAGAATAACGAAGCTGAGAAAAAGGTAACTGCTGGATCATGAGGGAAGAATTCGAGAAATAAGTGATAACCATAAAGTGAAACAATATAAAAGTTAATTGGGATCTCAGAAGAAAAGGAAAGAGAGAGTGGAAGAGGAAAAAGAGAGCTCTCTTATATTGGAGCAAATTATAGCAGAGAACTTCCCTAATCTGAAGGAAGCAGGTATTCAAGTCCAGGGTGCACGGAGAACCCCCTCAAAATCAATAAAAATAGGGTCAAAACCTTGACATATAACAGTGAAACTTGCAAATCTCAGAGACAGAAAATCCTAGAAGCAGTGAGGGATAGTAGGTCCCTAACCTACAAGGGTAGAAGCATTAGACTGGCAGATGACCTATCCACAGAGACCTGGCAGGCCAGAAAGGACTGGCATGATATATTCAAGGTGATAAATGAGAAAAATATGCAGCCAAGAATTCTTCATCTGGTAAGGCTATCATTCAAAATAGGAGAGAGAAAAAGCTTCCAGAACACACAGAAACTAAAAGAATTTGTGATCACTAAACTAGCCCTGTGAGAAATATTAAAGGGGATCCTTTAAGTGAAGAGAAAGCCCCAAAGTAACATAGACCAGGAAAGAACTATATAATATACAGAACCAGTCAGTGACTTTATAGGTAGTACAATGGCACTAAATTCGTAACTTTCAATAGTTACTCTGAATATAAAGGGCTAAAATGCCCCAATCAAAAGACACAGGGTATCAGACTGGAAAAAAAGCAAGACCTGTCAATATGCTGTCTGCTGAAGACTCACTTTAAACCCAAAGACACCTCCAGATCGAAAGTAAGGGGGTGGAAAACCATTTATCATCCTAATGGACATCAAAAGAAAACTGAGGTAGGAATCGTTATATCAAACAAATAAGATTTTAAACCAAAGACTATAATAAAAGATGAGGAACGACACTATATCATAATTAAAGGGTCTGTCCAATAAGAAGATCTAACAATTACAAATATGTATGCCCCTAACATGGCAGCAGCCAGTTACATAAACCAATTAATAACACAATTAAAGAAACATATAGATAGTAATACAATAATAGTAGGGGACTTTAACACCCCCCTCACTGCAACGGATAGATCATCTAAGCTGAAGATCAACAAGGAAACACGGGCTTTGAATGACACACTGGACCAGATGGACCTCACAGATAGATTCAGAGCATTCCATCCTAAAGCAACAGAATACACATTGTTTTCGAGTGCTCATGAAACATTCTCCAGAAGAGATCACATACTGGGTCATAAGTCAAGTCTTAACTGGTATCAAAAGATTGGGACCATTCCTTGCATATTTTCAGACCACAATGCTTTGAAACTTGAACTCAGTCACAAGATGAAATTTGGAAAGAACTCAAATACATGGAGGTTAAAGAGCATCCTACTAAAGAATGAATGGGTCAACTAGAAAATTAAAGAAGAATTTTTAAAAATTCATGGAATCAAATGTAATGAAAACACAGACTTTGGGATGCAGCAAAGCCAGTCCTAAGAGGGAAGTATATAGCCATACTAGCCTTTCTCAGGGGCTCAAATATACAACCCAACTTTACACCTAAAGGAGCTGGAGAAAGAACAGTAAATAAAGCCTAAATCCTGCAGGAGAAGAGAATTAACAAAGATTATAGCAGAAATCAATAGAATAAAAACCAAAAAAAAACAGATCAATGAAACTAGGAGGTGGTTCTTTGAAAGAATTAATAAGATTGATAAACCCCTGGCCAGACTTCTCAAAAGAGAAAGGACCCCCCAAAATAAAATCATGAAGAGAAGAGATCACAACCAACACTGAAGAAATATAAACAATTATAAGAACATATTAGCAACTATATGCCAACAAGTTCGACAGTTTGGAAGAAATGGATGCATTCTTAGAGATGTGTAAACTACCAAAACCGAAGCAAAAAGAAATAGAAAACCTGAACAGACCTGTAACCAGCAAGGAAATTGAAGCAGTAATTAAAAACCTAACAAACCAGAATCCAGGACCAGATGGCTTCCCAGAGGAAGTCTACCAAACATTTAAAGAAGAATTAAATACCTATTCTTCTGAAGCTGTTTCAGAAAATAGAAAGAGAAGGAAAGCTTCCAAACTCTGTGAGGCCAGCATTACCTTGATCCCCAGACTAGACAAAAACCCTGCCAAAAAGAATTACAGACCAATAACCCTAATGAACACGGATGCAAATATTCTCACCAAGATACTTGCCAGTTGGATCCAACAGTACATTAAAAGGGTTATTCACCATGACCAAGTGGGATTTATTCCTGGGCTGCAATGGTGGTTCAACATCCACAAATCAGTCAGTGTGATACACTAATAAAAGGACAAGAACTATATATGATCTTCTCAATAGTTGCTGAAAAAGCATTTGACAAAGTACAACATCCACTTTCTTGATTAAAACTCTTCACAGTGTAGGGATAGAGGGAATATATCTCAATATCATAAAAGCCATCTGTGAAAAATCCACAGCAAGTATCATTCTCAGTGGGGAAAAACTGAGAGCTATTCCCCTAAGGTTAGGAACACGGTAGCGATGTTCACGCTTACCATTGATGTTCAGCGTAGTGCTAGAAGGCCTCACCTCAGCAATCAGACAATAACAACAGAAATAAATAAATAAATAAAAGGCATCTGAATCAGCAGAGAAGCCAAATTCTCACTCTTTGCAGGTGACATGATATTGTATGTGGAAAACCCAAAGACTCCATCCCAAAATTGCTAGAACTCATATAGGAATTCACCAAAGTCTCAGGATATAAATCAATGCACAAAAATCAGTTGCATTTCTATACACTAACAAGGAGACAGAAGAAAGAGAAATTAAGGGAGTCGATCCCATTTACAATTGCACCAAAAACCATAAGATTAGACCTAGAAATAAACCTAACCAAAGAGTCAGAGAACTATAAAACACTCATGAAAGATATTGAGGAAGACACAAAGAAATAGAAAAACATTCCAAATTCATGGATTAGAAGAACAAATATTGTCAAGATGTCTGTGCTACCTAGAGCAATCTGTACATTCAGTGCAGTCCCTATCACAATATCATCAACCTTTTTCACAGAGCTGAAACAATCCTAACATTTCTATGGAACCAGAAGAAACCCTGACTAGCCAAAGGAATGTTAAAAAAAGAAAAGCAGAGCTGGTGGCATTACAATTCCAGACTTCAGGCTCTATTACAAACTGTAATCACTCATCAACACAGTACGGTATGGGCCCAAAAACAGACACATAGATCAGTGGAACAGAACAGACAACCCAGAAATGGATCCTTAACTCTAAGAACTATGTCAACTAAACTTCGACAAAGCGGGAAAGAATATCCAATGGAAAAAGACAGTCTCTTCAACAAATGGGGTTGGGAAAATTGGACAGCCACATGCGGAAGAATGAAACTGGACCATTTTCTTACACCACACACAAAAATAGAATTAAAATGGATGAAAGACCTAAATGTAAGACTGGAATCCATCAAAATCCTAGAGGAGAACACAGCAACCTCTGTGACCTCAGCCATAGCAGCTTCCTGCTAGATACATCTTATGAGGCAAGGGAAACAAATGCAAAAATGAACTATTGGGATTTGATCAAGATCAGAAGCTTTTGCAGAGCAAAGGAAACAGGCGACAAAACCAAAAGATAACCGACAGAATGAGAGAAGATATTTGCAAATGTTTTATCAGATACAGGGCTAGTATGCAAATCTATAAAGAACTTAACAAACTCAACACCCAGAGAACAAATAATCCAATCAAGAAGTGGGGAGAGGACATAGGCATTTCTCCAAAGAAGACACAAATGGTCAACAGACACAATAAAATGTTCAACATCACTTGTCATCAGGGACATACAAATCAAAACCACAATGAGATACCACCTCACCCCAGTCAGAATGGCTAAAATTAACAAGTCAGGAAATGACAGATGTTGGCGAGGATGTGGAGAAAGGGGAGCCCTCTACACTGTTGGTGGGAATGCAAGCTGGTGCAGCTACTCTGGAAAATAGCATGGAGGTTCCTCAAAAAGTTGAAAATAGAGCTACCCTATGACACAGCAATTGCATTATGGGTATTTACCCCAAAGATACGAATGTAGTGATCTGAAAGGACATCTGCACCCCAATGTTTATAGCAGCAGTGTCCACGATAGCCAGACTATGGAAGGAGCCCAGATGTCCATTGACAGATGACTGGCTAAAGATGTGTAATCTATACAATGAAGTAGTACTCAGCCTTCAAAAAAATGAAATCTTGCCATTTGCAACAATATGGATGGAACTAGAGGGTATTATGCTAAGCAGAATAAGTCAGAGATAGTTATCATATGATCTCACTGATAAGTGGAATTTAAGAAACAAAATAGGATCACGGGGAAGGGAGGAAAAAACTAAAACAAGATGAAATCCGAGAGAAACCATAAGAGACTCTTTTTTTTTTTTTTTTTAAGATTTTATTTATTTATTTGACAGAGAGATCACAAGTAGACAGAGAGGCAGGCAGAGAGAGGGAGGGAAGCAGGCTCCCTGCCGAGCAGAGAGCCCGATGCGGGACTCGATCCCAGGAACCCGAGATCATGACCCGAGCCGAAGGCAGCGGCCCAACCCACTGAGCCACCCAGGCGCCCACCATAGGAGACTCTTAATCATAGGAAACAAACAGGGTCGCTGGAGGGGAGGACAGTGGGAAAATGGGCTGACTGGGTGGTGGAATTTAAGGAGGGCACATGATGTAACGAGCACTGAGTGTTATGTAAGACTGATGAATCACTGACCTCTGCTTCTGAAACTAACAATACGTTATAGCTAATTAATTGACTTTTAATTAATTAATTAATTAATTAACTGCAAAAAATCTCAAAGCATCTCTACGGAAATGAGACCGTGAGAAGCAGGGTGTGTAAGAATGAATGCATTGCTCCTGCCACGTGCTGAGTACTCCGTGAGATAGACACGTGGTGTTGCCATGCTAAGAAAGCTGTGGTCTGGCTGTCAGAAATGCACGTGACGGGGAGACACGGACAGGTTGGGGTTGGGGGAGAGAAGATTCCCATGATGCATGCCGGAATCGGAGAAGGTAGAAATACCTTCAGTGTGTCGGGGAAAGCTTCCATGGGGAAAGGGTATTTTAATTGACCACTGCAACTGGAGGAGGCATTTCCTGGGTTTTGGGGGCCAGGGACCTGGTATGTACAGAGACCCCCGCAGAGAGAGGAATATGGTGCCTTGGAAAATGTCTGGGGGATTGCAGTAGGATATATGGTATATTGATTTTTTCGTGTTCTTCCATGATCTTATCCTTCTGATATTTTCTTTTTCTTTCCTTTCTAGACTACCAGGTATGGAACACTGCCTCTCCCGAGTTGGCCACACCAGCAAAACAACCACTGCCCAATGTAGACACGGGTGGCTGCTCCCCGGAAGGGTTTCTGTTGAGAAGATCCTTATTGGGGTTGATCTGTCTGGTCATTAGTACATCGATGTGAGGAGTGATGAGGATCAGGCATCCTGGTGTGGGTATCGGGCTGGCTCTGTAGGCCTTGGGTGTGTGGCATGAACCAGGCATGTGTCGGGGGGACCTTGCTCTGGCCTTGGAGAGTCCTCTCTGGGGTGGAAGTGGACCAACATCAGGGGTCTGCTCAAATACAGTATTGCCTTTTAGTCATAACCACTCAGTACTTTCGGTCCTCCCCTCCTTCCTGTGGTCCTGCTGTCTTGGTCAAAAGGAAAGAGCTGTTCTGGTACCATTCCTTTTTTGCTGGACCCTAAACCTTACAAAATTATGGTGGAGAACGAGAAAAGGGGAAAAAATGCAAGGAAAACGAAGAGTAAAGTAAGAACACAATCACGGACGTGGCACTTTTTTGATAGACTGTATGCTTTCATGCATGGATCCTAAATTAGGAATTAGTCAGTAGTAGGCCAGGGTCTGTCCCCAACTTGATGATGGAAGAACAGTATTCCCAATAGTCCTGCTTTTATGTAGTAGGGATCTCATTTTGAAAAATGTATGATGATGAAGATGACACATCTACAGGATTTGGGACCCAAACGGGGAATTTGGGGAGGTCACAGAGTTCCCCCCCCCACAGCTCCGTGTGGTGTCGTGTGTTCCTCCTTTCAACCAGCTTTTCTGTTGCAGACTCTCCCAGATGGCCACATGTCTGGGACGAGAATGGATCGAGGGGTGTCCATGCCCAACATGTTGGAACCAAAGGCAAGTACAGCCAATCTCTCTATTCTCACATGGGGTCAGCAAACCAGGCATCATCCTGAAAAGATTTGGCTTTCTTTCTTTCTACCATTCTCAGTGTTGAGGCCCACTTGCTTCCAAGCTGATAGGTCAAACCAGCCATGTCAGAATGTACCTGGACACTCACTGGTTTTGTCACACTGAGTCAACAGGTTTAAGGCTTCACAGGGCGTGGTACTGTGTGTTCACAGTAAAGCACTAGCCTGCCTCTCAGGAGCTTAGTACTCGCTTGGCCCCTGCTGGTAGCCCCTGCTACCAGCACCGCGAGGCATGCCCACTGCTGAGTGGGGCCGACCATGCCAGATAGGGCGACCAAGACATTGCATTTGCTTAGGATGTTGCCACTGTTAGCACTGGAAGTCTAGCATTCCGGAACTTCCTCAGTCCCAGGCAAACTGGGATGGTTGGTTACCCAAGCTCCGGACCATTCTGAAACTCCAGAGGTGTCCAAGGCTGTGCTCCCCAGTGACTGTAACTGGGGCTTATTTCAATGTCCTCCACCAGAACGCTGCTTCTGGGTCGGCTTGGTTCCATGAAATCGTGAGGCGGTCATGGAACAAGATTGTTGAACCCTGCAGCGGTACCCTGGCCCTATCAATCATGTCCTATCATTTCACTTCTAATTTTTACCTTTACCCCCAAGACATAATAAGTTTGTATTCTTTCACTCAACAAAGCCTTCCAAAGACAGAGGGCTCCATGAGACATGGTGAGCTGAGAAAAGGTTAAAAGAACTGGCCCCAGTCCACGGGATATGGGAGGAACACCCATCACTCAGACACCTTAATTATAGTGTCTTAGAAGCTATATCCTGGGAGTACTAGGTTGTAGCAAGATTCTGCTTGTTAATCAAATGGACAGCAGTGTTCTGGAAGAGGTGTTTCTCTTTCTCAGATCTTTCCATATGAAATGCTGATGGTGACCAACAGAGGGCGCAACAAAATCCTAAGAGACGTGGACAGAACCAGGCTGGAGGTAAAAACTAACTAACCAGTCCCAACCGCAGGGACCGTATTAACCCCCAACTTCCCCCTAAGAAATGTTTCCATAAAGGGAAAAAAAAAATAAAGAATCCACCTCATATGGCCGATAGAACTAAGGTAACTTGGGGTTAGATCAGCCTAATATGTGGTAAAGCCCAGAAGATGAGCCAGGAGACACAGTATGATTTTAGTCACCTTCTGAAGAAGCCCGATGTTGCCGTAATTATGCCTGGTGTTGTATAATGGGATCCCATCCCTCTTCAGACATCCCAGCACCTGGGTTGAACTTTGTCGAGAAAGAGAAGGAAGTACTCAGTGAAGAGGTTTGCCCTGGACAGGTTTCCCTCTTGCTGTTTCCACACCACTAGCTGAAGGGTTATCTGGGTGCACATACCCAAGAGCCCCTTAGACACCAAGGCTGCTCGTACTGTTCCATCTGAGTGATTTTAATTAAGAAAAACTCTGGCTGCCAGTCTCATAAAGAGTCATTACTTTTTCCTGACGAAGGGTAATACCTTTGTACGTGAAGTCCGTCTGGCGCAGAGAAGAAAGGCTCTACTATCCTAAGGGAATGGTTTAGGAGGGACAACAGGTGGAATCTATTCTCCTGGTAGACCAGGCGTCCCGCAGAGCTCCTGCTGCTGCTGCTGAGCCAGGAGGAATCCCTAGGGCTACGCAGACACCACTCTGGACGTTTCTGGTTTTCTTAGTGCTGTGGTCCATTTTCCCTGCATCTTCTCAGCATCCCAAGGACCTGAAGCAGAGTTGCCTCTAGCATAATGAATCACCTTCGTATGTCCCATCACCGGGTAGCGTATTATAATAATCATTACTACTCCGCCAGCTCTGTCTGCTGGGGTGGGTGCCTCACCTGGGCCAACCAGGTAAGGAGCCAGTTGGTCCAGGGCCTGCCAACCAGCCTCAGAGGTAAACTCCTCTGCCATCATTCTGCCTTGCTTTTCAAAACCATCACTTACAGACTCAAAATCAAGTGTCAAGGCCATCCACATGGCCATCGGGACTGACCACTGTTCTTTCTCCCACCCACAGCGCCACTTAGCCCCAGAAGTATTTCGGGAAATCTTTGGAATGTCTATACAGGAATTTGACAAGTTACCTCTTTGGAGACGCAACGACATGAAGAAGAAAGCGAAACTCTTCTAAGCCCGTGCCCCCCGCCCCCAACCATGTAGACAGCAGTTAAGAAAAGGACTGACATGGCGGCAACACATAGGATGTTGTGTTAAGGCCCGAACGTGATTGGAGAATTCGCAAACTTTAGACAGAATTCTGTCCCTCAGCAACAACAGAACAGGAAACCTGACTAAAACACCCATGAGCCAAATACTGGGCCAGCCACCGGCAACACTTGCCAAGAAGTAATGGGGTCAGAATTTCTGTGTTCCCCACACTCGACAGTAGTGTTCACATGTGACCTTCCAACATCACCTTATGTACACAACAGGAGCTACTTCTTCCATTTCCTTTATATGTTGTCTAACCAGAGTGCTGACTGTTTGGGTAAGAGCCAGCAAGTGCCCTTAGGATGCCGCATGGGGAAAAGCAGTCGTAATCATTCCGAAGCAGGAATGTATTGTGTAGCACTGTGGCTAAGGAGAAGAGCCTGAGGGATGTACCCATGTGGTCGCACCACTTTGCACACCCCTGTCCTCACTGGCCTCATGAAGCCCAGCCTGGGCCCCAGTGGGATGGAAATCAGAGTCGGGGAGTTGGGCAGCTCTGAGTGAGTGGGCTGGATAGCAGCCAAGGTCATTTTTAATAAGCTCCTTTTTCTCTACTTTTTGCTAGGACCTGGTTGGCAAATTACTTAGCTATTACTAAAAAAAAATTTAATAAATAAGAGAAAGAGAGGGAAAAGGAATGATTAGCCCTTAGTCCTTTTCCTGCTTCAGATTGTACACTTCCCTCTGCCTCCCCACCAAGGACAGGTGCTATCGCAGGCCCCCACTGCAAAGAAAGGAAAGGGAGAGATGATCTCCAGTTGTGTGCTGTTGGATGATTTTTGACCCAGGGCCACAACACTCTTGGCAAAAAAAAAAAAAAAAAAAAAAAGGAAAATCCCGTGTCCCGCCAATGCAAGTTCTTCTACTTTACATCCCCTGCTCCTCACCCCAGGGCCCCTGAATCTAATCAGGCCCACTTGGATTTGGGATTTTTTTGAGGTCTCTTCAGTAGTAGGCTAAGGAAAGGCACGCTTTGCTCTTGGAAATCTCTACAACTCCAGGGTATATTGCCTCAGACTGATTTCATTTGACCTTTTCAGCTTTCCTTCTTGCCTAGCTCTGTTGACTTCACAGTGTGCGTGTTCGTGCGTGCGTGCTTGTGTGTGTGTGTGTGTGTGTGTGTGTGATTGGACGCCCCAGTGTAGTCTGAGGCATCTGCATGTTATTTTGCATTTCGTCTCTGCTCAGGTGCTGAGTTTCCGAGGAACGTTTGCACACTTGCGTGTGACTCAGAGGTCAGCACTGAGGTCAGACCTCACCTGACAGGGCACCTGTGGAAGGGTGTCGGGGTCGGAAGCCAACATCCCCCGCGATTCATATAGCTCAGATCTGCCGCACAGTGAGGACCCCAGACCTCAGATCAGGCTGGACGTGGACCTCGGAGTGTCCCACCAGAGTCTGCAAATTCAGCAACACCAGATTCTAAGGGGAGCCTAGGGTTTCACCAAAACGTGCATGTGAGACCGCATCGTGATTCCTGGACACCTCCAGCCGTGACTCAAACAAGTGGTGAGGCGGACAAGGGAGGGTATCTCCCTCCAGCTCCACACGTGGGTGGTTTTCACATTTGGTCTCGTGCTCTGGGGGCTCTGCCTAGGAATTTAAATTCTGTTTTAAAGCCAAAGGAGAAATCGTTCGAATTCTCTTCGTATGCCACTACTTTTAAAAAGCTAAGAAATTCTTCCTGTGGCCACTAAGTATCCGAATTAGTTAGAAGCCAATCTCCACGGTAAAAAGCAAACAAAAATAGTTTTGGAAACTGCTGCAGACCTGTAACGTGGCACCCGCTCCATCACTTGGGTGCTGTGAGGGGATCTGGGCTGGCTTTTCCCGTGTGCTATTCCCGAAAGCTCTAGAGCCGCCTGTCCTCTGAGTGCTGCACACTGCATGTTTGAGGCTTGTTTTCACATATACGAGCGTGCATGTGTGCACGTGCCTGTGCACACGCGCGTGTGAGTGTGTGTGTGTGTGTGTCGGACCTACTAAAATACTTTGCAAATGATTCTGATGGAGCAGACCTGAGACAACCAGCTCCTCGTTGGGCTGAAGCCCCTAGTTTGTAGCTTGCAGTTCGGTGCCTTGAGTGGCCTCTGGCTTTCATTCTATATTTCTGCTGCCCCGTCTTTGCCCTTCTCTCTGACAGCAGCAGCCTCAGTACAGTGCCTGCGAATCCTAGTCCTGGCTTCGCACTGGCAAAGTGGTAGGAGTGGGGACCATGGTGCCTTCCCAGTAATCCACAATGAGGATGGCCAGATGGGTCCCAGTGCTGGGCTGGTGGAGAGAATTTTTCCATTAACGGGGATCCTAAAGGACCCTCAATGTTGTCATTGGTTAACGAGTTACGACCCGTGCTGCACATGCAAGCAAATGCCAGGGTGAGAAAAGTTGCAATGATAGTTAAAGATCTGAACCCAAAACCTGCTCCCACCAATGAAACTCTACTTATCCTATCTCTTTTGAATTCCGTTCTGTACCCAGTGTGGGGGTAGGGGGCGGGAAGCTTCTTTCCAAGTATATTAGCTAATTTAAACTATAGTGTGCAGAACGCATTACTGGAAAATGTCCGTAGCCTCCTGTCTACAAAGGACGCAGTGCTACGCTCTGGGGAGGGGTTGTGGGAAACCATAATGTGGACTGGGTTCCCCAACTCCACTCTGAGCAGAAGGCTCCAGTGGAGGGATGGGTCATGAGGCAACCAGGTTCTCCTAACTGCCAAATCTAATATCTGGGCTACAAGGGCCTCGCCATTTTTTTTCTTTTAAACTGGGCTCAGCACGTTTGTCCTCAAAACGTCCAGGCCACTGTATAGGAGATCAGTGTTCTCTGCTTGAACCCCACTCTGCATGGCACACAAAAATTCTAGTTGTGAACGCAGCCCGAGGAACGGGCTTGTTCACTCGTTTACTCTAAGGGAGGACTTCAACACGTGGCAGGCTTTCCTGGTCCCTACCCCAAGGGCTATATTTTTGAGCGCTGGGCTCATTTTTGATTCTTTAAGCTCCCAGCGCCTGCACAAAGCAAAAGAGGCCTCTCACAGCCTGAAAGTCAGTGCTTTAAAGTCTCTTCCAGAAAAGCCAGGATACCATTTACTCTTCCCGTGTGGTTCAAGACGAGACCTAAAGAGAATTTGGGAACTTGTATAGCTAGCTAAGTGTCTGTATTTTGGTTCATGTTAGTAATGAAATGTTCTTAATGGGACTTCTTCAGCAACTAAGGACAAACTGCCTGTTCGCTGAAACTTCCCACAGAAAAGCCAAGGGTTCGTGGGTCCTGCGGTGCACACTCCCTTTGCCACTCTCATCCTCTCAGTCTGGTGATGGCCGTCAACTCAACTTTGAGAGAAGTCTTGCTGGAAATGTTTATAAAACTTTCACTTAATTTCTTTACACTTTAAAGCAAACACCTTTTTCTAAAGAATTGCTTCTCAGATGATTATATAAAATATACATGCTTTTGCAAGTTAAAAAAATGGAATTAACCACTTTTGACTAGGTAGGTCTTTCTAAAGATTCTTTCAAAAAGCGTTAGCGTTCTGTGCGTTGAAGGGGCAGGCGAGCCCTCTCTTTGTCAGGAAAGAGTGGGGAAGGCAATGAACTCCATGAACTTCATGTAATCCCCCCGTCTGTGTCCTCCGAGACAAGCTGTTTTTACAAATCACCTCTTCTGTATGACTGGTCACTGTTTTATCCACTCTTCCTAGGCCAGCCTTGACCTGACTCGATCTTTAAAATTATTTTCTTTGGACAAACCAAGTGTTTGTGAGTAAACCCTACAACTCACTCATTAGTACTCCCTTTTGAAGGATGTTCTATTCAGAAAAAGAGATCATTTCAGGTGTGAGATTTGCTGTGACATCACCTTAAAGTGATAATGTAATTAAGGAAACTAGGCAACTATGCTGTGATGAAAGAAAGAGAAATTTTTACTTTGGCTTAAAAAAAAAAAATCACTCTTTCCATTTGCTGCCCAGGAAGCCATGAGGAGATGGTGATTGATCTGCTTTGCATATGGATTTTTGTGTTTTTAAGTGGGTGAGTTTCATTTCTGGCAAAGTGGAAAGGGGGAGGCGGTCTGTTTCAGCTGAAAGAAATTTCTAAGCAGTGTATGTAAACACAGCAAAATCAAACAAATGCAATGATGGTCGGTGTAATGGACTGGCAGTTGTTATCATGACATAAAATTCTTCCCCAAAGTGTCTTCTCTCAAGAATGAAGATCCCGCGAGTCACTTTTCGGACCTCATTCACCAAAGGTAGCGGGAGGCACTACTATATCCACTGCCATTCAGAAAGGTGGGGAGCCCCTTAATGACTGTATGTGCCTATGTTTCCTTATCCCGTGGAAGAGAAAACAAGTGTCCCCGATATGTTCCTTCTGGGTTCTGGGTACAGACCCGTCCAGTAATAAATGTGTGGTGTCTGTGAGTTGCCGACAATCCTGCATCCAGTTCTCTTGGAGTCCTTTCATTTTAAGTTCAGTTGAATGGAATTTTCTTGCAAGCGTCAGAAGACGTCCAGTTCTTCCTTCCCTCCCCTTTCAGAAACATGAAAGTGAGTATTGGGAAGAACCGCTGTGTACAAGATGTGTCGTGTCCCCGTGAAAGTGAGTGGGTGTCGGTCTGCGCCCGGCAGACCACAGACGTGTGCAGAGGCAGGGGCGGCCCCGCGGCCCCGCGTTGCTGTGCTTAACGGCCCCGACCTGCTTCGCGCTCCCGTTGCAAACAACACTGGCTCCCCGCCCTGCCCTCCGCGTCACTGCTGTACACTCACCACTCAGTGAATAAAGTGTGTGCTTTATTCTATCCACAGACGCCTCCACGCCGTGTTTCCTTGCTCCTCTGCACCCTTTAACAGTCTGTCCTGTTCGAAGAAATACTGGTCTGACTTTTGATGACCAGCACAAAACCAGAATCAAACCAAAGCCTTAGGAATGCATTTTTAGCACACAGGAGGGCTGTGGAGGGGGAAAATGCAACAAATAGCAATGGTACATTCCAGGACTGTCCAGTAATCAGACCAAATTGACCATGTGGGCCGAAGGGAAAATACGTATTTTTTAGAGGGAGAGGGCGTGAGCGCGGGTGGTGTCAGGGAAGGAGAGAATCTCAAGCAGACTCCCCGCTGAGCGCAGAGCCTGTCCTGGGGCTCGATCTCACAACCCTGAGCCATGAGCCATTATGGCCATGAGCCAAAATCAGTAGTTGGACGCCCAACCCACTGAGCTACCAGGCACCTCTAAAGGGAAAATATTTAAAAAGAGCCGTTGGGCTGTGCTGGTCTGTCTGGTGTTTGGTTTTGTGACACAGCAGTACCAGTCTCATCATCTGGACAAGAAGGGGGAATTGAAGTTGGAGGACAAGAGCTTGTGAACCCCGGCGAGTGGGGGCTACTTACCAGGAGACTGCAGTGCGATGGTAGAAATGTGTCTTTCAGAGCTTTGACCTCCCCTGCGTTATCAGACTTTAGGTGAAGCAATCTCCTAGATTTTGATTTGCATGTTACTCTCACTGCCACACATTTGCGCCTACTGAAAAACACGATGTATTTAGACTCGAGATGGCCTACTCTGACCATAGCCATTCTATGGCGTGTCTGTCAAGCTCGTTGGCTTAGTTCAGGCTGCTGTTAGCAGACTTCCATAGCCTGGATGGCTGGAACAGCAAACATTCGTTTCTTGCAGTTCTGGAGTCTGGGCAGTCCAAGAGCAAGGTGCTGGCAGATCTGGTGTCTGGTGAGAATGTGCTTAGGTTTGTAGACAGCAGACTTCTGGTTGTGTCCTCACAGGGCAAAGAGAGGAAGCAAGCTCTTCTGTCTCTTCTTATAAGGGTGCTAATCCTATCATGAGAGCTCTACCCTCATGATCTAATAACCAAAGGCCATGCCTCCTAATGCAGTCCCAGTGGAGATTAGGATTTCATCATATACATGGGCGGGGGGGTGGGGGGTAAGGGAGACACAAACATGCACTCCGTAACACACATCCTGGGGCCAGTCGCACTAGCGTTCATGTGGACCCTCATCACAAAGCTGGAAACTGAGACTGGGGATCAGTGTTCTGTCCATTTTGCAGACAGTTGGCACGTTGGGTTTACTAGTGTAGGAAACGGGTCAGGAGGCCCAGCTAGAGGCCTGTGTTCCATTCACTTCTGTCCCCACCTGCGCTGGCATCACCACTCTGGGCTCTGATGACTGCAGTCCGTGTTGACCTTCAGCCTTTACCTTGAGCTCTCCGTGGCTTTTGCCACAGTGATCACCATTTCATTGAACGCTGACTCCCTGTGTCACTTAAGTCGTTAGCCCTCACACACAGCCAGGTTCGCAGCCCCGGGCCCTTCACTGCGCCCACTGCTGTCCCTCCCACCATGCCCCACCTTCGAATCTGGCCCTCCAGCTCTTCCAAAGCCCTGCGACTTTCCTGACACACCATGCCCTCTCCTGCCGCTGGACCGCATTTCTCTCGTACAATGTCCAGTTCTTTAAGGAGGTGGAGAGCGGGAGGATCTGGCCCCAGGGACAGGAGGTAACGGCAACACTGACTGTTTGAAATCAGTCATCCAGAGCTCTTTGGAGTTACCCGTGCGAATTTCCCATGGGCTCCGTTTGCCCTGAATCAAAGACAAGCCTGAGTTCACACCCTTTCTAAGAGCCTGCCTTGATGAGCCCAGCCCAACCTGCCCCAGGAAATTCTTTGCACGCCTGTGGCTGAACATCACATGTGACACTACTCAAACTTTGCCCAGTGCTGCTAGCTTGGCGTGTGTTTCTCCTCCTCCGTTAACTGCGGTAAGGTCTCTGGTGAGTGCCAGGCTTTGTGTGAACCATGCTTCTCACAACAGCCCTACAAGACGGGTCACTGTGGCTCGGCTCTACAGGTGAAACCAAAGGTCAGCGGCTAATGCAACGTGCCTGATCATCAACCAGCAAGCCGCAAAACTGGGACTGCGGAGGCCTATCTTCAAATCCCAAGTCGTTCTCTTCTGCGTCTCCATGACCTTCCAAAGGCGAGGACTACCTCTCCCACATTCCAGATCTTCCGCGGTCCACTGCAGAGCGGAGGTTCTCCCCATGAGACTGGCCATTTACCTTCACTAGGCTGCAAGCCCCATCACGGCTGCCAAGTTGCTAGTATGAGCAAGCTTGGGGGATCTCACTAGCTCCGTGTCTTAGGACCAGTTCTTCCGCCTCCCTAGGCCTCAACTTGTTCATCTGCAGAATGGACAGGATACTAATCCCCATCAGAAGACTGTTGCTTCATTTTAACTCATGTTGAGCACCAGACAGTACCCAGGACATAGTAATTGCTCAAGAAACACCAGTGATCTTCATGAAGAGTAATTGGCCCCAAGAACCCCTGCTACTCTGAGCCTCAGTCTCCTCATCAGCAAATTAGGAGTGAATACCGGCATTCTGGATACATCCTGGGGGTTGTTAGTCTGAATGAAGCAAGGTGGAGGGCTCAGACACAGAAAAGCGTTAGTTACACTGATAGGTGGTTTGGGGGAATGAGGGTTTCTTGGTACTACTTAGTACCACTACGACTACTAAATAGTTTCATCATTCAAGAATTTTAGTTTTTTGGGGCGCCTGGGTGGCTCAGTGGGATAAAACCTCTGCCTTCGGCTCGGGTCGTGATCCCAAGGTCCTGGGATTGAGTCCTGCATCGGGCTCTCTGCTCAGCGGGGAGCCTGCTTCCCTCTCTCCTCTCTCTCTCTCTGCCTGCCTCTCTGCCTGCTTGTGATCTCTGTCAAATAAATAAATAAAATCTTTAAAAAAAAAAAAAAGAATTTTAGTTTTTTGTTCTGGGCTTCTTCTCCCCCAGTTTTCATAATTACCACAGCGTGAAAGCAAGCCCACAACTTCTTTTATCGGCTTTAATAACAGTCCGCCCTTTGTCCAGTAATACTCGAGGCTTGAGATCCTCTGAAGATGTGCCAGTGAGGAGTAATAACAAATTATCACACAGTAGCTGAGTCCGGCTGTGGGGTCAGACTTGCTGGGGTTGGGGTTCCACCTCCACCAATAATCAGCTGTGGAACTGCTGACAATTTGCTTAACTTCTCGAAGCCTCAATTTTGCTTTCTGTAGGAGAGGAGTAATAATAGCGACCTCAAAGGGTTATTGCGAGCCTCCGGTAGAACAGAGACTGGCACCATACAAGATGCACAGTGACAAGCTTTTATTAAAAAAAAAAGTCGCTGTCATGTAATGAGGAGCTGTTTGTGCCCAGCCCTGAGCTGGGCATATCTTGTGGTTTATCTCACACAGCTCTTTACGTCAGCCCTCCACCAGCAACCGCCCCCCCAGCTCCCCAGTTTTGAGATCAGCATGTAGGCAAGAGACATGCGGAGAAGGGCTCGGGTCACCTCCACGGGCGCTGTGGCCAGCCAGGGTGGCAGGCTGCTCAAAACTAACATCCCAAGCTGTCAGCTCGGGGCTCAGCTCTTCCCAAGGGTTTGGTTTTGTTTTTTAAGATTTTTATTTATTTATTTGACAGACAGAGATCACAAGTAGGCAGAGAGGCAGGCAGAGAGAGGGGGGAAGCAGGCTCCCCGCCGGGCAGAGAGCCTGAAGCGGGGCTCGATCCCAGGACCCTGAGATCATGACCTGAGCTGAAGACAGAGGCTTTAACCCACTGAGCCACCCAGGGCCCCTTCCCAAGGGGTTTCGAAGCTGTGGGGCCCCAGTGCTTCCGGGGTCAGGAGGATCTCCCTAAGCTGCCTGAGGAATCCTTTAAAACACCATCTGTGGAAGAGCTGAGACTGCTTTTCATGAAAGATGCCTTTGCTTCCAGAAAGATCTTTCTGACTGTATTATTTCAAAACAACCAAGGCAGCAAAGGCGGAGCTGCCAGTCCTTACAGTATTGGGGCATATTTCCTCGGTTCCAGAAAGCCACCAGGCCTACTCAGTCCCTCCTGCCATCGCGGGAACGGGGTTCCTGCTCTCTGCAGGGCCAACCCTGCCTGGGTGTGTCGCCAGCCCTGCCCTTTTGGACGTGCTCATTGTTGGCCGGAAAGTGCTGGGAAGGGTGGGGACTTGGCTCTGGCAGCTTTTGAGAAAGCCCAGGGTGGTCAAAGGACTAGTGCCCAAAACTTCTGGGAATCCCAGCCCTGTGCTTGAGAACCTGCCTCCACGCCCTAAATTTCCTACCCCCCCCAAACCCCGTCCCGTGGTAGGCCAGGACTCTTGACAAAAAGTCAGAATCTTCCCCCCCTTCCACTCCTACAGCCCTCAGGGATGGGCAGTACTGGGTCAGGGCCTTGGAGGAGGGGTAATATGTCCACATTTAGTTTACTTTCTAATCTCAACTGGATAAAAATGCTCTCTGGGCCCCGCCATTGCCATTGTGCCAAGTACAATGGCCGCCCCTAGAGAGGTTTTTTCCGTATTTATTTGTGCTTGTCCCCCTGCGGCTACGTCTTAACTCAGCCCTTCCCCTCAGATAAAAAGACAACTAGTCTTGGGAAAATTTCTCCTCCAAAGCAGAGGCAGTTTCTGCTTTGCCCTAAGCATGTTTTAGTGGCGGGACCTCCCAGAACATCCCTGAGGGCCTGGAGGCCGGGCAGAGCCTTGGGCGGCTTCCAGACACAGAGTTTGGGAATCTGACTCAGGTATAGGAGTCCAGATGGTAGGGAGAGGGTGGAGGGCGGCAGCAGCAGACGTTCAGTGAGGGCCTCTGGAACGCCAGGTACTGGCCTAAGTACTTGGGGAAGACTAGTTCATTTCATCTGCAGAGGGTAAGCCCAGGACAGGGAGAGGACGGGGAGAGGCCCCCTGGCAAGGAGGTAGGCTTCTAACCCCTCCCATCA